GAGAGCTATGGAGCTCCTGTCCACCTGTCAAGGTCCAGCCAAAAACATAGATGAGGCCACAAAGCACAAGTACCAGTTCTGGGACACTCAACCCGTGCCCAAACTCAGTGAGTCATACGTCACCTTTGCACGTGTTTGATTGCAACATTGCAAATGTAAGCAACTTGGCAAACTCAAAACAGAACAGAATCTTACATTAAGCCTTAAAAACAGTGTTGTATTCAACAAACAAATCAACTTGAACTTCAGCATCACGAATGAAAGCACAAGCACAAGATGTCTAGTTACACAATCATTCAAAAGTTTGGGGTTGATAAGTTCTTTCTTCTTCTTTTTTTAAATAAGTCTCTTATCCTTCCTTACCAAGGCTGCTTTTATTTGATCAAAAATACAGGTTGTATTGTGGAATATTACAATTTAAAATTACTTTTCTATTTGAATATACCCCTGGTTTAATGATTAATTTAAAATTAAAATAATCAAACGAAAAACTTACTAATAAAAGCTGAAATTATTTGTTTACCTGCATGTCATGTGACCATTAACCAACTTCACAGAACCATAAACGTGTGAATGTGTTTTTGAATTATTGAAATATTAACTTAAAAATCTCTGGGGGTACTTCAAGAAAATATTTTAGGTCAAAGGTTATGGCTGACAAAAAATTTGGAAATCCCTGCTTTGTCATTATATTATTTCTACATGGATAAGCAACACTGAAAGACTTAGGCTGCATTTACACTGGCACAAAAATCTGATTTTTTACTCTCATCTGAAACGGATTGGCATTTGTTGCACATATGTAAACACAAAAATCTGATACATATGCGATATCTGGACATCTGACCTACGTCTAAACACATATATCCGATTCCCCTTGGAATTCCAAGCCACCACAAGGCGACGGCAACACATTGGGCCACAAAGATGGCTTTTTAATGCCGTATTACGAAGCAGGCGTGCCTGTATGCGCTCACACTAAAACTCACATCTTTGAATTTATTCAAATAAATAAAATAAAAATCGTACAGCACTACTAAAATTACAAAATTACCCTTATTTTCTTGTCTATATCCATTCAGTCAGATTTCGCATTGCAAACATCCATGACAGCTTTTAACTTATCCAGTCTGGCAAATAATCATGGCCTGAATTATAAAATTGGCCTGAACTATCAAATTTAATTATTTAAAATCTGAATTAAAAAATAATTTTAGTTCAAGCCATTCAAAAATCGAGGGTCAACCATGTTGCATAGTAAAGCGATCACCAACAGAATCATTTTGGGCGGGGATTAATGTAAACTCAGATATCGGATACCAGTCAGGTCTAAAGTGAATCGGAAAAAATCGGATATGGTCAGAAGATCAGATCTGTGCATTAAGACTTGCAGTGTAAACACAGCCTTAAAGAGCTCCCTCTGTTTTTTGCAGATGAGGTGGTGACTACTCATGGACCAATTGAGCCAGATAAAGAAAATATCAGACAAGAGCCATATTCCCTCCCACAGGGCTTTATGTGGGACACACTGGACCTTAGCAATGCTGAAGTGGTACGTGCATGTGTGAAATGACTGACTGAATGTCAGTGTATAAAGTGTGTATACTGTGCTTTTGCTATTCATTGAGATATAAAATAGTCCTATGCATACAACATCATCATAATTTCTCTTTTCTGCCTTGTAGTTAAAGGAATTATACACTTTGCTGAATGAAAATTATGTTGAGGATGATGACAACATGTTTAGATTTGACTATTCTCCTAACTTTCTGAAATGGTAAGTGATTGTTTGATGGTTTGCCTTATATTCTGCCCATCTGAGATGATGCCTTTAATGTAATGCTTTGCTGCAAGTGTAATGTTGGTCTCTCACTGTAAGGGCGTTACGTCCGCCGGGTTGGCTGCCCCAGTGGCACTGTGGTGTCAGGGTCTCATCCAATAAGAAGCTGGTTGGGTTCATCAGTGCCATTCCTGCAGACATCCACATCTATGACACGTGAGTATGTTACCACATGACATCAATGCCTGCGCTAGAAGCAACTTTGAAACCATTTCTGTTTGTAAATTCTGGGAGTTGTTCATTGTTCCAAACCACACTAGAGCACTAATTCTCTTTGCATCCAAAGGTTGAAGAGGATGGTGGAGATTAACTTCCTGTGTGTGCATAAAAAATTGCGCTCAAAGCGTGTCGCTCCTGTACTAATCCGAGAGATCACGCGGCGGGTCAATTTAGAGGGAATTTTCCAAGCTGTGTACACTGCTGGTGTTGTTCTGCCCAAACCTGTTTCTACATGCAGGTACCAAATCCAGCTGGATTCCTACAACACTAAATAATCCATTTATGTGAATTGCTCTCATTTGAGTTATTAGAAGCACATCTGTGAGTTTGAACCTGTTTATATCTTTATCTTTACAGATACTGGCATCGCTCTCTCAACCCCAGGAAGCTTGTGGAGGTTAAGTTTTCCCACCTCAGCAGAAACATGACACTACAACGGACAATGAAGCTCTACAGATTACCTGATGTAAACTTCTTTGTCATTTCAAAATATTATTCAAGAAGAACACTAATGGAAAGTCCATCTAGAAATGAAAGTTGTTCCAAACCCATATGCTTTTTTTTTCCCTTTAAATGTTATTCTCTGATTTCGTTCTGTATTTTTTTTTAGAGCACTCGTACCCCTGGTTTGAGGTCGATGGGAGAGGGGGATTTGAAGCAGGTGACAGCATTGCTGCAGAAATACCTGAGCCGGTTCCACTTGGGCCCTGTCATGGGGGAAGAGGAAGTGAAGCACTGGTTCCTACCGCAGGAGAACATCATTGACACTTATGTAGTCGAGGTACCAGCTGGAACATTCATCTCTACGTGCTGCTGTTCACAATTTAGTACTCTGCTTTAACTTCATATTCTTGTACTAACTCTGCTTCCTTCAAAGGGTTCTGATGGGATGCTAACAGACTTCATCAGTTTCTACACCCTGCCATCTACAGTGATGCATCATCCACTGCACAAAAGTCTGAAGGCCGCTTATTCCTTTTACAATGTCCATACAGAGACGCCGCTCATAGACCTGATGAATGATGCTCTTATCCTAGCCAAACTGGTATGATCACAACACGACGAAACCTCAGAACACAGATGAGTTTGTAAAGTTATTTGATTGTGTTCTTAATGGACGATTACTAATGATTTGTTGTTCAATTGTGGCTTCATATATTCTAATTCTTATTCCCTTTGTTTTCCGGGTTGTTTCGGGGCAACAGAAAGGTTTTGATGTTTTTAATGCGCTGGATCTAATGGACAATAAGACTTTCTTGGAAAAGCTCAAGTTTGGGATTGGTGATGGTAACCTGCAGTATTACCTGTACAACTGGAAATGCCCTCCCATGGACCCAGAGAAAGTAAGATTTGATATAATTTTTTTTTGTTATTATTATATTTTAAAGGGGTCATGACTTTTTTTTATGTTCCTTGAGGTTTTCTTGTAATAATATAAATTTTTATAAATTAAATTTGAGAAGTTAATTTAAAAATATATTTAAAAACATGCGGGAAATTATTTTTAACCTTCGTTCTGGCCCTCTGTCTGAAATGATCCGTTTTTAAGGGGCGGCTCCTTTAAGGCTTGCCAGTAAATGCCCACTGTTATGATTGGCTAACGCCATTGCATAGGAAACAGTCCACTCACTATTGCATGTGAGTAAAAGTTTTGAAAACATTATCTATATAAAACTCATTTACAGACAAAATATTATGAAATCATTTACTTGCGGTTTGTGTTGCAGCTGCTGTCAGATCCAATACAGTTGGCTGCTTCATCTTTCAACAAAAGTTTCTTTGTGAACTCTCCATTACACTGTGCCTTACAAAACAAAATACTCAGAACAAACCTATAATCCTCCGATGCGATCCAGGGCGCCATTTAAATAAACTATCCACTTGTTTCCGACGCTGGGATCCTTCTGAAGTCTGTACAGAGACTCAAAAGAGCTGTTTAAACTGGACGCATCAAAGTGAACGTTCTTTCACTCTTCCATTTATCCTGTTGTCAACAGACTCAAGCGCGTGGAGTAGCCTATGTCAGAAACTGAACTCGCATCTGTATATTGTATTCGGTATAGATGGCATCAGTAATTATAGTAGGTTCTGTTTGCTTTTGAAGTGATACAGTTCTCACACCCAGTGTAGGGAAATGTCAGCCGCTTAGTGATTTAATGCCGCGGGGCGGGGCCTATGGTGCGATGATGTATAACTATTCGTCAATGTCTTGCTCTGGAGTTTGTATGCAAATTTATTTGCCCATGTGACGCCAGATCCCGCAATATCAAAACAAGCCGTTTTGGAGCTTTAAATGCTTTGTTTATAATGAGGAGGACGTTTTAAGCTAAGAAACTTGCTGCATGTTTTAATAAAGTAAAGAGACCTCATGTCAAAAGATCAAGGCAAATTTGATTTCTCATATCATGAACCATTTAAATCCCAGCTTTGATGCTTCTTAACTCTTTCTCCCACTGAATAAAACTATATATACGTATCTTTATAATATACTCAGAAACTACCTTGTAGATAAATGAAAAAAAAAAATTTCAGTGTTTTAGTGCTCCATCAGCATTTTACTGAGATTAAAATAGCCATATAAATGTTGAGAATACATGATGGTAATTAGTTGTCAGAAACATTATTGGAGTGTGTTTTAATTGGCTTCTCCATCCTCCCCAGGTTGGCCTTGTTTTACAGTAACTGGCTGCTTCGCATTGGATGCCGACTGATTCAGAGGTCCATCTCGAATTCTCAGACTTGGACGTAGTCTATATAAAGAGGAAAAACTGACATCCATTCAAAGTGAATGAGTTATGTTGTGCAGCTCTCTTAGGTCTTGTTCCAGTTATTGAGGGGTCTCCCCTCCTTTCTCTTTGTCTTTGACTCTCTTTCTGAGAATGTGAGAAACATTTATCAAGGTCAAACACATCCGCAAGCTGTATACACACACACACACATACATGTAGTGTTCGTTTATTTTCCTTAACATACAATCTGTATCCTCTCGCAGAACATGTTTAATCCCATGGTTTTTGTCTTTTTGTTCATTTTTGTATTATGAAGGAGTGTTGATACATTTGTGTGAATTAGCAAGCTGTACATTTAATGCCAGATATTTATTATGTGTTGTGAGGTTTACAACGGAACAGGAACGGGAGTCGAAATCCAAAGTCTTTTCTATGGAGCTGCCTTTGAAGTCATATACCGTTCGTATATGTTCCTGCTGTCTGTGGGAGGGGGAGCGTAAATGGTTACACGTGGAAGAATGTATTGCATTTCGAAGCACAACATTAATTTGTTTATAAAATGGCCAGTTTGTTCTGAGGTGCATTTTTTATTTAGGTTTGTGTGTCCAAAAGAAACATTTAGAATTTTCAATGTGAATTTATTTACATTTTGTTTTATGAAGGCATGATTGTCACATCTTTAGTAGCTTTTCCCACCCGTTTCTGTTCTTTACCATCTAAGTGTTTTTAAATTATAATTTTAGTAAAACAATTCTGATATTTAGAATTGTATTTAAGCTACATGTTCCATTTTATTGTTGATTTTTTTTTTATGCTGTCAGTATTCTTTGCAGTGAAACCATAACCTCGTTCAAGTGGTACATTTGCGATCAGGCCCTGGTAATTTTGCTATACTTAAGCACAAGGAGTTTTTGCTGGCTGTTCAGTTACAATCACTGGTGGGACGTAATGAAATGTGAACAACGTTATTATATAGCAGGAGTTCTTTTGTGTTACTACAGCTTATCTTGTCATGGTTTGCTTTAATGTATCTGAATCTACAATATGCTTTTAAATAAGCGCACGTTCAGACATGTTTAAAAGAAAGGAACTTCTCTCTAAGTCCCACATTTTAACCGGTGGTTTCGTTCAATAACATTCAGGGCACTTTTGTGTATGTTTTTTTCTAAGGCTTGCTGTATGAAATGAGCATGAAACTCCCCCCCCCCCCCCGTATGGTTTAAAACTTATGGGTTAAGGCGAGAACACCCAAAGTACTTGCCTTATTTCAGAGAGGTTGTTTTTTAAATGTCAAATTGTGTAGTTTTAAATGATCGGCTTTCTATTTCTGAAGACAGTATTTTTATTGAACTCCATTGCAGGTTGGAACTAATGGGAATACGTACCAGCACCATGTCAAACATGACAGTCCACCCAAATAATTAATTGTCAAAAATATACATCAAGGTATACCAGCATGGATATTTGACTGAATAAAAGCATCCAAAAACAATCCACTTGGGTCTTTTCCCTCTCCATAACCATCACGTAAACTTTTGTAAATAACTAAACACTTAAAATGTGTCCAAACAACCTAAATAGTAATCATGTAATCACTTGATAAGAACTATTGCTTTCCTTTCTTTTTCGGTTTTCTAATTTTTGTGGGATTCGGGATGGTTTTCCTCACTTTCAGAGGCTGGAGGATTAAAGGAGAGGCGTCACTGGCTTCATCCGATATATCTTCTAATTTCCTCTTCAGTCCCTTTTCTGTATCGGTGTGCCTTTCTTTGGCTTTCGGTGTTGATTCCGTCGGAATCCAATCTAAGTTGAACGGCGGAACCACGGGCGTGATCGCGCGGACCACATCATCGAACGCCTCGGCACCGCGTTTGAATCCCAGCGCCAGAACGCACTTGAGACCCAGCAGCCCCGAGAGACTATCGCTCAGACCGGGCACCTGACAGGCGGGCACCGACCTCGTATTACTCAGCGGGATTAAATGCCACGTCATGTGTTCTGGCCTGACCGAATCACACACGAGCACCAAACTCAGCTCATTCCTCTCCAAACCCTTGGTGACCTCGTTGATGCCAATTGCCAGCTGTTTCCTCACGGCCGGGTTAGTCCAGCACGGTTCGGTGGGCTTAGAGAGGGGTTGTAAATTCTCTGCGGGTTCAGGAGCTAGTTTTGGATCCTCCGTGGGATTTGATGCCTTTTTTCTTGACCTCCTTCTGCTTCCCCACTCGCGAAACCTATTGACACGTTGTTTCTGAAGCCCAATAGCGGATATTTTGTCTTTCAGCGTGTTCAGTATGAAACTCTTGTTTCTCTTTTCCCCCAGTGGTCTCCAGCTTGGTCTGTATGGGCTAATCAAAGATGTTTTCACTGGAATGGGCTTCTTTTTTTCTTTCTTCTTTGCCCCTTTCGCTGGGGTAGACATTATTTCTGGAAACCTGAGCTTTTAAGCAAAATTCAGCATCAATAATCATTAAACTTAGACTAGAGGCCTGCAAAATTACAGCAATAAAACTTTTTATATAGTATTTCATATGGACCACTACATATAATTATCATTTTATACAAACCTAATAAAACAGCCTGAAATCAAGATTTCACGGGAGGTTCACTTCCACAGCGTGTGCACATTGCTCTGCGCGCAGACATGTTGTTTTTAAAGGTCTTTTTCTGTGGTGTCACACAACGAATTGTTCAACGTTCACACTGCCATCTAGCGACGGACTTTCTGCAACGACAGAGCTGTTCAGTCATAAACCGGCTGGATATCACAGTCAGCAGGCCTTTTTTCATGTACGCAGGGGCGGATCTAGAAAAATATTTATGGGGTGGCAAGAGGGGGGCAGGAATTTTTGAGGGGTGGCAACATGGCAGAAGTATATATACTGAATTTAATCACAGTTAACACAGTTTGATGAGAAATCGTATGTATAGGCTACACACTATACTCCACAGTTAACTCCCAAGAAGCTATAAGCTGCATACCGGGTTTTCCCATAGGATTTTGGGAAATCTATGGTGAGTGCAGAGTGCACCCCTGTCCGTCTAGGGGGGATGGGGGGCATGCTCCCCCGTAAGAAAATTTTGTGCTTTTTAATGTTAAACTCATCAATCTGGTGCACTTTGAGAGTTCAAAATAAAGAGCTCCAACCCATATTCAGTGTGCAAATTGAACAAAGAAAAACTCAAAACTCTTTTTAGTTGTGATATAGTGTCTGTCTACATTACACTACTATATAATAATAGTTATAATATTATGGCCAGTCCAGCCCTGTGTGAGTATAAGGGCAGGGGTGCGTTTAACTTTTGGAGCCAAGGTGTGTCGACCTTTTTTCCCTTTTTTATATATATTATTTTGTTGAGCACCCAACAAGAATCAATTTATAGAATCAATTATATCATTTAAATACTACTAAGATCCATATTACTATCACACGAGCCAATGGCAATTAAATGCACGGATGCATAACGTTAGTCAGATTAATGAATGAAATACAACTGTTCACGAACAGAAGATTGTATTGGACTCATGCTGCATACATACGCAATGACAATTATGCCTACTGTAAATATACAGTATACAGTAAATATACGGTATAGAGTTACAACAATTAGAGTTGTTAAATAAAATACCCTGTGAACATTCACACGTTTGCTTTATGATAGGCTAAAATTTATCTCCACAAATATTAAATAATATTTTCTTAATTCTGCGTATGTATTTTTACTTACTTACATCAATTGCTCGATCAATATTATTATCACATATTTTACATTTATATTTTTAACTGTACACAAACAACTTAATATAGCTAAGTTTGTGTATATTTTACACGTAGTGAAATACTGTAGGCTACTGCTTATAAACACCAGACAGTTAATGATATATGAAACAGATGTTCTTTACTCATCTCACTTGCACAAAATAAATGCAGTAATATAAAGCATAGAAACGCACAGGTGAAATACACTGAAAATGATATGCATTTAAAAATTTGGTCGGGTTGAAAACTTATCTCTCTGGTAATGGAACTCGGTCGCTGTTGTCTCTTGCTCTCGCTGTCTCCCGCTCTCGCGGTCAGATCACCGGACGTTTTCGCCGGAAGTATTTGCCCACACAATAAAGTACGAACGTCAACGGTCGTCATATTATGCATGGAGCGAATTCACTGCAGTCGGACATTGGAGATTCGCGTTCGAAAATTGTCAAATTGGCCATAACTTTTAATTCGTTGCTGCCAACTGGGGTGGCAGCAGGGGTGGCAAGGCTTTCTTTTAGGGTGGCATTTGCCACCCTATGCCACCCCGGTAGATCCGCCCCTGCATGTACGGTACTACAATTTACTAATATAACTTCTCAAGTCATAGATATTTTATATGAAACACAATAAATAGGCCTACGTTAAAATGTTATTTATTAATTATTGATATTAATAATATAAACAGAACTATTGTAACCGGTTGGCCAATTATGTCATTTAAAAAAAATAAAAAAAAATAATGTAATTTTAATGTAATCTGATTAGAAACAAATTTAAGGGAATGCTATTTAAACAATTCGTCATAGAATTTACTCTGCTACACAATAGAATAGAAACTATGTAAGGAATGATCAGGTTTTTTAACAAGACAATTGCTCCTGCCCAAACTTCAAAGACAACCAAGAAGTGTCTTAAGAACAAGTCCATCAGGCTCATCAGGTGTGGTTACTCGTCAGAGTCCAGATTTGAACCCTTTAGTGAATATTTGGTCTCACATTAAACTCAAACAAACTGGGAGACATTTTTCAACTACTCATGTTTGAATCCATTACCATTTAGTTGAACAACACTGACTTCTTCCTGTAAACCTGTCTGCAAGACGGGGAAGGCTATTCCATGCTAAGCTACTTTATCTACAGTATTTGTAAAATTCTTTCTAATTTCCTGACCACTGACCATTAAAATACTTTTTTTTTATATAAAGTAGGCTATAGTTAACCTGCAAACTGTGACATCCCAGTCTCTCTAAGATGTCTGTTAAAGAGCAGATCATCTGGAAAGCACCATGTATACAAACATCTGATAAACATCAGGTAAGTTTTCATAAACATCTTTTGAATGTCCATTTAACATCTGACAGTAAATGTCTTAGAGACGTATTGCAGATGAGCAAACACTCGAAAAAATACATCTTGCAGATTAAAACCACACACATCAAATAGACGTCTCCGAGAGATGTACGTGTTCTATCAGGGTGGTGGTCTATTCATATTTTTCCCATTTATATGCTTTTTCGGTAAACTCTGGATTTGATGATACGCAAAGCTGCATGTTAGAAATCTAAAGGCACAATGCCGAATTAATGGTTTCACCAGAGAAATGGAATAAACTGGAATAAACATTGGGTTTCACCCTCGGAGAAGGAGGCTGCTTACTGCAGACCCATGGGTGGAGTGTAAAGTCCAGCTCCCCCTCTATGAATGTAATTTGGGTGTAATGAGTGGAGCTAGAATAAACAAACACACGTGACCCGACCCAAGAACTCTATCCCTCCACCAATTAGATTCACAGAGGTGGAGCTGGACTGGGTCAAGCTCAACCCATGACGTGCAGAGAGGTGGGGCTGGACGTCATTTGGATCTGCAGTACTTGCCCTCGGACGTTCAATCAGCCAATCAGCGCTCAGCTTCACACCAGCGCACTGGAGCTCCGCGCGGTGTCACTGTCATCGTAAACTATTCATCTTCAGATTCTGTACTACCTGACGCGCCCAGCCGCACGATACTCGCCTAAGAAAATGACTTTGAAGGTATAACTGCACTGTTTTCATTTCATTTCACGTTCCTTGCGTTTGTTGCGATGTAACGCGCGTGAATTCAAGCCCTTTGGTTATTCCTTTAAGTCAGCACCTGGTATATAGGTAGGAAGTTAAAGATTACAAACACTGTATTGCTATAATGCTGTATACACAAAAGCTAATGTTATTTTCCTCGTGTTCTCATCTGCAGCGTATTGATGTGCGCTAGCCGCTAGGTAATGTATTACGTCGTTCTTGATGTATTAAAAAGTTGCGCGATGAAGCCTAGACCCACAAACTATTTTTCCTTTTGAAAGTCTTGTAATTTATAGATAATATTTCAAGTGGCGACCGATAGCCTGTATGTTTATATGGGCACAAAGATCATTCATGTTCGAAAGCACAACTGTTAGTTCGTTGTGATTCAAAACAATAGACTGCATAGCTACAGTCTGGGAATAATGCATGATGCATACAGATTAAGATAGTGCTTATGGGTCAGACACTAAGTGTAAGCAGATGCACATTAGAGCTTGATTATATTATTATAGGATTGCAGGGAAAATAATTAAGTCATGATGTCTGTGGCTATAGGCTGAATTTGAGCAATATGCAGAGGATATAAAGAGAGTGAAGACCAGACCTACAGACAAGGAGCTGGGAGATTTGTACGGCCTCTACAAGCAAGCTAACTTTGGGGACATTAATTTTGGTATGGCAATTGTTGTACAAATATATTTTGTTATTTTTTATTAAAACGATACTTCTGAGCTTTACAGTTATATCTTATAATTGCAAATGTGTATGATCTGTGTTGTGCAGATAGACCTGGATTTATCGAATTAACAGGGAAAGCCAAATGGGATGCATGGAATTTAAGGAAAGGTAAGTAATATAAGTAATCCTGCTTTTTTCCAGTCAACATTTTCATTATTTTCAAGCAGTAAATGGGATAGTTCAACCAAAAATGAAAATTAGCCCATGATTTACTCACCCTCAAGTCATCCTAGGTGTATATGACATTCTTCTTTCAGACGAATACAATCGAGTTATATTAAACAAATATCCTGCCTCTTCCAAGTTTTATAATGGCAGAAAATTGCCGTTTCTGTTTTGAAGTCAATCAAAGTGCATCTATCCATCATAAAAGTGCTTCACATGGCTCCGGGGAGTTAATTAATGCCTTCTGAAGTGAAGCGATGAGTTTGTGTAAGAAAAATATTCATATTTAACACTTTACAAATGAAAATTCTAGCTTCCGGCCAAACGGCAATACGCAGTCTCTACTTACGCCTAAAGCACAACTTACACAATTTATGACGTCGGAAGTAGCGTAGTGCGTCATGGCGTAGCGTAAATATCAGCAGTACGTCACATTACTCGCACAAGTTGCACTTTAGACTTAAGTGGACTCCGTATGTTCGTTTGGCCGGAAACTAGTTATTTTACTTTATTAAGTTTTAAATATTGATATTTTTCTTACACAAACGCATGGCTTCACTTCAGAAGGCCTTTATTAACCCCCCGGAGCCGTGTGGATTACTTCTATGATGGATAGATGCACTTTGATGGACTTCAAAACAGAAACGGCTATTCACTGCCATAATAAAGCTTGGAAGAGCCAGGACATTTTTTAATATAACTCCGATTGTATTCGTCTGAAAGAAGAATGTCGTATACACCGAGGATGACTTGAAGGTGAGTAAATCATGGGCTAATTTTCTTTTTTGGGTGAACTATCCCTTTAAGGTTGTTCTGCAATAGACAGAATGTCATACTTTCCACAGTTTGCTCAGTAATCACATACACTCCACTTGTTTGTATATGTAAATTGTATTCAGATTTGTACTGAGCTAAGGTTATATCTGAGACCCTTCAAGTGTTTCTGATGACGGCTTGATTCATATAGTCTTCACTCTTTTCTCTAACAGGAATGTCACAAGAAGATGCCATGAATGCCTATATTTCTGTGGCCAAGAAAGTAATTGAAAAGTATGGAATGTGATGGAGAAAATCATCTCCTTAGTTTTACCTAGATATAAAAGTTTAACTATTAAAAAGTTGCAAGATTGAAACAATAAGCTAGTTTTTTGTATTGAATCTGTTTTTCTTGTGTAATATAGATTAACAGATAATTCACCTGTTATCAAAGTGATACCACCTGATAATATCTCATTGCCAATCAGAGTGACCTAAAGATGTAGGCATATAATCTTGAGTCATCTGGCCAAAATAGTCATTGAATAAAGCTGTCAAATCTCATGGTAATGTTGTCCTCTTTATTTTCAATATCCTTACAAAATCTTTTCATGTATTGCTTCAATAGTATTAAGCTGAGTAACTCAGGCTCGAGGACCTGTAGTTGTGCCCTTACACAAAGACCTTCTTTGTCCTCTCAGTGCTCACTGAAGCACAGACATCACAATACCCCATTTGGATCGAATGCATGCCGAATGCAAGGCCAGGCCTTTTGTACTTTATTGCCAAATCGGAAAATAAGCAGGAATGCCAGAAATCTCTTGAGTGAATCGAACAGTAGTGTTTGCAAAAAAACAATACTTTAAGTATCTGTCATTTGAATTACCTAATCCATCCATCAGGAAATAGTTTTTTTTTTTTTTTTTTTCACAAAATATACAATCCCTTATTTATATATCTCAATCAGTGATGTGAAATGACATTTTGTCTGGGTAATTTAAGTTTTTATTACATCAAAAATATGACTAACAATTTTAATATTAAAGTTGGTACCTAAATTCAAAATTATAAGAACAATAGAAAACTATTTTATTTTAAAAACAAAGCATTTTAATTTTACATTTAATTATGAAAATTATTATTTTTTAGGTCAAATTAGTGATATTTGATTTGAATAAATGAATGAATGGCTTGAAAAAAACTTTTTTGAAATAATGACTAATGTGCTCTAATGTGCGTTTATTCGCAGTTATAACGCAATTATATCAACATGTTCGTAGAAAATTTTCAAGAACGTCTGAAAACATTTTTATTTAGCTAAATATGTACACAACCTGTGTATTCATTCCTTCGCCGTGACGTTCCTGCAGAACCTGTATTTTGAAATATGTTCAGGCGGTTGGCCATGTTGGTTGAGTCAATTGTTATTGTTTTTGACTTCACATATAGTAATTAGGGCAAAGGTAACGGGAACGATTCTCGGTCTAGTATTGAATGAACACATCGAGCTTCTTCAAAAAAGTATCAAGACTCTCCGTTTTACCCGTGCAGCTTCACATCCGTTTCTGGATTAATAAAGTATTACTTACTTACTGAGGTAAGTCACTTCGATAATGTTTCCGTTTGCATTATGCGTATTTATCATGACCTACATGTATTTATTCAACTAATATGCCTGATGAAGTGATTTAGTCCTGCATTACTGCATCAAATCCAGAGTGAATCCTGCATTAAAAGCCACTGCGTCAAGTGGACGTCTCTAGTGGGAGTAAACAAACAGATTTTGCAGAAGCATGTTTGTAATATGATATGATTGGGCATGCTGCCAAATTGTGCCGATGAGCCTTTCTGACTATTGATCTGATTTGATTCGCAGTTGTAATAATCAGTCCAGTAATAATGGATAATCAGATGTTCGAGTCCACTGCAGAGCGGACATTTCAGTTTCAGAGCAGCCTCCCTCCTCTACCTGTGCCCGCTCTACAGGACACACTCAACAAATACCTGCATGCAGGTGAGAGCTCGTTCAACACCTGCATTCTCATCTGCTGGATATTAGATGTAATTACATGGGGATAGGAGTGGTATCAAACTATTTCATTTCACTGGTAACATTTATGACCAAATGTACTTTTGAGTTTGAGGGGTCTAAAAGAGTTGTCTTTTAAGGTGCATATACTTGCCTTGATTTCATGACATGTTAACATATATAGTAAATGGAGACATGACCAGAGCTGTTTAAATTCAGTTATGATGACTTATGTTGATGTTAATGTTGTTGTAATGTAAACGATTCAATTTTGTTTTCGCTAATTTAAATAAAGCTAGTATAAAATCAAAAATAAATATTAGATGAAAAGTACTAAAATTAGTAAAACTAAAAGGAAATACAAATTAAAGTTATATAAAAACGTATACCATAAAATTGAAAGACAATTCAAATAATAGTATATAAATAATACTAAAATAACACTGGTTTGTGTCAAAGTTCCGTTTAAAAGGAAACAAAAATTACATATAATTTGTATATAAACTACCATAATGTGTATGTGTAATATTTAAAAGATGTATTATTATGATTATTTTGTCTTATACATGAACAACACATTGTTGGTCAGATGTGTGACCAGAGAAAAAACAGAGAGCCCTGTTTTGAACTAAAATACATTGATTCCCATTATAAAACTTTAGATTTCAAAGTATTGTTTCATGAAATGAAACATTAAATATACATATTTAAAATTAATTAACATAAATAATAAATGGTTAGTTTATGTTATGCACTTTTCTATTGTTTAATCAACTAAATAATTTATACTTTTTTGAAACTTTTTTTTTGTGGTAATTTCCTTTGTAAAAATACATATGTTCACCTAGCTGGGAAAAAGGCAAAAATCCAAAACTAGATATTATTATTATTATTATTTCTCAAGTAAAACCTTTTGCGTCTGAGGAGGAGTTTGGAGCCACAGAGTCCATTGTGAAACGCTTTGAGGAGGGTATCGGACAACAGCTGCACCACAAGCTTCTGCAGAGAGCCAAGAGCAGGCGCAACTGGGTACACACATTTTTTGTATTGAATCACTTAAATAACTAATACATGACGTGTATTTTCATGTGTGTAGCGTATAGATTTATTTTAACCTGGTGTTTTTTCTTCTTCAGCTCGAGGACTGGTGGCTGGACACAGCCTATCTAGAGGTGCGCATCCCCTCTCAGCTGAATGTTAATTTTGGGGGACCTACAGCCTATCTGGAGCACTGCTGGCCTCTATGTGAGGGAACACAGCTGGAGAGGTCCAGCATAAATTTGTGGTTCATCCTCCAGTACTGGGACCTTATCCGCACGTATGTGATCACTTATGTAAACAAAGATCCAGCCGATGTAGAAATTGATTTTCAAAAGTGTCTAATCTGTATGTTTCTGATTGTGAATGGCTTGTTTTTGTCTGGCATCATGTAAGTAATATGGATATTTGTTTGTATTTGCCGATATTGATCAGAGAGAGGCTGGCTGTTCATAAAGCAGGAACGATACCCTTTGATATGGATCAGTTCCGCATGCTCTTCTGCACCTGCAAAGTGCCTGGCATCACTAAAGACACCATCCTTAACTTCTTCAAAACAGGTCAGGCATATGCATGCTTATTTGTATGCATACATGTGTCCATCCATTTGTTACATGATGCTGCATGTGTGATCTCTGCGTGTTGTAGAGAGCGAAGGACCCTGCCCTTCTCACTTGATAGTGATGTGTCGTGGGAGGGTGTTCACATTTGATGCTCTTTGTGATGGCCGTATCCTCACCCCTCCAGAGCTGTTGAGGTATGGAGCCAAGCATCCTATTCGTCATTGATTCAGTGGGTTGTTTTTCTGTGTAATCTGTCTTAATATATGTCTTCAAAAATTGTATACATTTTAATTAGTTAATAAAACAATAGGCAGTATTCTACGATAAATGTACACTACGTCATTGTCACGTGACCACGTGTTAAATTCTGCCAGTTCTGTTCATTTAACATTTTGTAAATTAAAATGGTGAAATTTGCATTTTCAACCGAATTTGCATTTTCAATATAACATTGGACGGTCTGATGAAATAATGATATTAAAAACTAGTATCATGCAGTAGCCTCTGTTTGTCAAATTTTGGCAAATATTGTTATTCCGTTATCAATGACCGTTACTCAGCAAGGATGCATTAAATTAAGACATTTATAACATTTATGTTACAAAAGATTTCTATTTAAAATAAATGCTGTTCTTTTGAACTTTTTGTTCTTAAAAGAATCCTTATAAATATGTATCATGGCTTGCACAAAAATATTAAGCAGTTTTAAATAGATAATGTAAGGCCCCCCCAATCAGTCTAATGCCAGTTTCCGATAAGCGGGTGAAGGTTTCCTGCGTGTTCTGTCTTTTCAGTGTGGCAAAGTAGTTTAATTCCAATTTACTTTTATCTTACTCTATTTTATCGCGACCTCGAATTTAGGTTGGAATGCCAATTGATTATTAGTCATTTATACTTTATATAGACATTTGATTATTCTATTTAACTCTTTACTTTATATTTATTTTACCAGTTCATTAGGAATCTATGTCGCACAGAGAGCCTCGTGGCGACCGTTTAACGTGTGTCCCACAATCACAAACTTGTCAGTTTTGGTCACTAGACAGAGGTAGTTGACTAATACCTAAGATGTTCGCATGCACGCTTACTCTATCTAAGATACTTTATTTAGTCCCCATAGATCTGTATACACTTGAATTAAAGCAACACTATCTTTAGTCAGAGGTCATGACCACTTTTACAGATATTAACCGATCAATATTACTTCTCTGATAGTAGCTTTGGTTTGGTCATGCCATGATCTCCCACATACACTTGCTAGAGTAACATTACATTAAACAGAGGTAAGACTCACCCTATTTAGGTTGGTCGAGCAGCAGTTTGCTGTCCTAAATGGAAATTCCCTTTTTAGCATTACAGTCTAAGTACACTTGAACTAGTGCCAAGTATTAGCCGGAGCTCTAAAATCAGAGTTGGTGTGCCCTATGCTCCACTCAAAACTGGACTTTAGTCCATTACTAAGCGGACGCAGATTTGCAGTAACATCAGCCTTCACTTAATCTACTTGAGAAAATAATTCAAATGTAACAATGTATTATTAGTCAGGTAAATTTATCATGCCAATTAAATAATCCATTCAAAGATAATCAATACTAAACATCAAATGCTCTGGAATGAAGAGTAAAAGATGCATACCTGACATTAGAAAAAATACATAATGCTGAGTTTCTGAGGACATTCAGCATTACGAGCTGATCTGACTACAAATCGCGCCCTGAGCCTCCTGCAACATCTCCTTAAATACCAGACCAAGACAGAAATCTTCTTCAGATTGAGATGTCAGCTAACAATGGGAATTTGCAATAATCAAATCTCCAGAGTTTACACCTTTTGAGGACAGAAAGTCATTTGCTTGAAAGACCTACCCTCCTCTGTAAGCAAGATATCTCTAAAATATTAAAAAACTCTATTGCCTTTGTGGTAGACCTTTGTACCAGTCGCACTGAGACATTTCAAATGATACCAAACATGTATAGTTACTTATTGTAACATTGCATAGACTTTGAGTGAGTTTTAGGTGAGGGAGAGAAGAGGGGGAACAGAGGGTGATGAGCAGACTGTAAGGGTGTGGTGCGTCTCGCATGGTGTTGCTACTTATGCAAGAGAGTGTTCAAATGTTAATTCTCAGGAGAGTCCTTTGTTTCCTCGAGGAGTAGTCGTTTCTCAGTCCAGACTATCTGGCATCCGCCTTGCAATAATAATATGACATTTTTCTTGAGCACCAAATCAGCTTATTAGAATGATTTCAGAAGGATCATGTTACACTGAAGACTAGAAAATTCAGCTTTACCATCACAGGAATAAATTACATTTTAAAATGTATTGTGATATATATAAAAAAAACACAATTGTAATGATATTTCCCGAATTACCTGTTTTTGCAGTATTTTCATTGATCAAATAAATGCAGCCTTGGTGAGCAAAAACATTATACAACCTTACCGTTCCCAAACTATCGTTTAGCCCATCGTATTTTACACAGTAAGCATACTATAAATAAACTGCTGAAATAGTAAAGTAGTGTGCTATGCCACATGTAGGCACCTCACTCACATTAAAGAATGCTGTGATGGAGAGCCAGAGGGGGACGGAGTGAGCGCTCTCACCACTGAGGAAAGGACCCGCTGGGCAAAGGTAAAGCCACCAGAACCAATCACAGTACAGTAGACAAATGAACTACACCTGACATTCTTCAGCAGAGTTCCATTAACAGTTTCTAAATCTCTGCTGAAATCTACAAGTAGATCCCAGGCTTATCATTATTTCCCTTGTCTGTCTCTTCAGGCTCGGGAGTATCTGATCTCCATTGATCCTGTGAATAAGACCATACTAGAAACCATTCAGAGTTCTTTATTTGTGCTGGGACTAGATGATGCCAAGCCCTATGCCACCCCTGAAAACTACACACAGGTTGAGCACAATACATACATAAATGTCACTCAGCTTTTGTATTTGTTCCGGGTATGGAATTATGATTTATCTCTCTCTTTTATGATAGTTGACCCAGCTGGCATTAACTGGTGACCCCACGATCCGCTGGGGTGATAAATCTTACAATCTGATCTGCTTCTCTAATGGGACCTTCGCTTCTAACTGTGATGTAAATACAATCATTGATTATGGCAGCATTTTTATAGTTTATGTATATTTTTACTTACACTATTGTTCAAATGTTTTGGATCAGTAAGATATTTTTTTTGAGAGAAATTAATACTTTTATTTAGCAAGGATGCATTAAATTGAGCAAAAGTGTCAGTAAAGACTTTTACATTGTTACAAAAATATCTATTTCAAATAAATGCTGTTCTTTTGATCAGAGAATACTGACTTGGATATATAAAGCAGCTAATTATATAATAATAATAATAATACATTATTTCTGAAGGATCATGTAACACTGAAGACTGGAGAAATGATGCTGGAAAATCAGCTTTAGCATCACATGAATAAATTACATTTTATTTTAAATTGTAATAATATTTCACTATATTACTGTGTTTTTTATCAAATAAAGGCAGTCTTGGTGAGCATAAGAGACATTCAAAATCATTTAAAAAATCTTGCTGACCCTAAAAAGTGGTGTATTTTGATTAATATGATCAGAAAACACGTACTTTTCTAATATTTTTGTTGTTGGAATAAAGCCTAAATGTTACCAGTAATCACAGTTATCACGTCTATGATATAAATACATAATTTGAATACTAATCACATATTTTTGTCATCATTGTGTTTGTATTTGTTTGTTTAAAGCATGCGCCATATGATGCCATGGTTTTGGTGTCTAATGGATACTACGTAGATCAACAACTGAGGGCCTGTGGTGGAGTATGGAAGGTTGGACCACTTTTAGGTATATTTGTGTATATCCTTTTATGTGCATGACTGTCATGTTGAAGTCATCAAATGACTCCCAGGGTTCAGATGTTGTGCGTGAGATGCCTGTGCCAGAGGAGCTCATTTTCACCGTGGATGAACGGGTGAGGAGAGACATCGCCTTGGCTAAAGAACAGTACAGCAAAAGTGTAAGTAACACACACACACACACGGTACTCTCATTGACTCCTACACACTATTAACCAATCATTGTTATACAATCACATAATGCATTGATGCAAACAAAATATACAGTTTTTAGTAAACATCATGAAACGCTCATCTCAATGTGCCTGTATCAACAGTGTAAAGACCTGCAGGTTGTCAGTTACGCCTTTACCTCCTTTGGAAAAGCAGCCATTAAGAAGAGGAAGCTTCACCCTGACACATTTGTACAGTTGGCTCTTCAGTTAGCATATTACAGGCTACACGGAAAGTAAGTGTGTTAGATTACTACGTGACCGAATAATCGAGACGTTCCAGTCCTTGCTAAGTTTGGCATCTTTCTCTCTGTCACTCTCAGGCCTGGTAGTTGTTATGAGACGGCCACCACACGCCGTTTCTTCCATGGCCGCACAGAAACCATGAGGCCCTGCACTGTGGAGGCCCAGCACTGGTGCAGAACCATGTTGAACCCTACAGCCACTGTGAGTGCCCCGTGTGAAAGAAATACAGAGTTAGTTCAGCCCAAAATGAAAATTCGCCCATCGTTTACTCATCCTCATGTTGTTCCAAACCTGTATGACCCATCTTTTTCCTTACAGTGAAAGTAAAGAGACACTGTAAAAGTATCATACAAATATTTGTGAAAAATAAATAAAATAAAAATATTGTTAAAAAATAAGCTTTTTTTAAGCTTGACAGCCCTCATCATCATTTAATTGAATTGTTTGGAAATGAGCAGCTCATACATTTTGCTAAATTTCTCCTTTTGTGTTTCACAGAGGAAAGAAAGTCATATAGGTTTGGGATAACATATTAGAAATTTTATTTTAGGGGATAACTGTGTATATAGGTTTCCTCTGGTATATTTGCTGTATTTCTTTTTTCATTTACAGAAACTAGGATATAATTCATAGATTAAAAACATAATAATTATAATTAAAATAAAAAACAAGTTTCAGAATTCCAGAAGTTTTAAAACCTGAATATTCTTTAGGGATCCCACTCTTCTCCAATAAATTACGAGTATCCAATAAAACTCTTTCAGTCTTTCATGATGGGTAACACTTTATTTCGATAGTCCACTTTAGACATTCTACTAACTATAAGTAACTTTGCAACTACATGTCAACTGTCATTAGAGTATTAGTAGACTGTCTGCTTAATATCTGGGAACACTTTATTTTGATGCTCCCAACAGATATTCTACTGACTATAAGTGACTGCAAATACGTCAACTTGTTCTACAAACACGAACCCTAACCTAACAGTTTACTACAGTCTACTGAGACTCTAATGAGAGTTAGTTGACATGTCGTAGTAGATTTATGTAAGGTTAGTAGACTGTCTAAAGTGGACCATCGAAATAAAGTTTCACCCCATGATTGAGTGGATATGGATTTTTTTTTTTTTTTTTTGTACTCAAAATTTCTACCCGATTTTTTCCTACATAAATTTTAGTACTTTGCTTAAGTAGAAAAAAAATATTTTTTAAAATTCCAATGTCGTTTTGAGATTTGATTTATTTACATGACTTTTTCAGGTCTAGAAATCATACTTTTAGAACTAAGATACCTCATATATCCAGGTTTTCCAAGACTGTGGGAACCTTGGTCCTTGTGTAAAATATATTTGTTGATGGGGTGAACACATTTTTAGCTTATTTTAAAGTAACACCAGGGAACTTTTGCTCTCGGGGTGGGGTCCCCCTACAGTTGGGAAACAGTATTGTCCTCTAGACCTCTACTACTGTCGTAAACTCTGTCATCCTACATGCACGTGCGATTGTTGACAACCATGATAGCCCTGAACACTGTAGGAGGAGGTCACATGCAGGTGTTCTGCTTGCGTCGCGTGTGAAATGTCTTTATCCCAGGTACAGTGGCATATATTTCAGCATGTCATATGAATATAATTTCATGGGTTTAATTTTTTTTCTAACGACAAATGATCGCGATGATCACGTTCAAAAGCCAGCGTCATTATAGTAGCCTAGTCTATTGGTTACCGTTTTACTGAATCTATATGATACTTCAATGCAATGTTTGAGTGGTTGATAATAACCATATATCGTCAATATTATAATATCAAGCTACCATAAATGAATCTGCAAATTTTACAAATCGATTTGCATTATAGCTTGAGGCAAGACAAATAAACAAATATCACAGATATGTTAGGTATCCTAAAATATGATTTTCTACATCTTATATATTTACTTGCAAGAATGTAGCCCCTACCAAACTTGTGCACGCCGTTAAGACACAGGCTTTCATTTGATTTTTTTTTTTTTTTTTTTTTTGCCAAGTCCGCATCGGTCCCTCCTCCTTCAGCTCACGCCAGCGAGAAAATGCTGGGCCAATGTTGATCCTCGTTCTGCCTTTAACGCGATCACTTTCTCTTTTTGCTTTGCTCCGATAAAACCTTTGCTTTCTTGTTTTTCTGTGCTGCTTCGGCCATGACTATAACATTTGGCTCGCATGTCCGATTTTAAGGAAGTGGGGGTGGAGGTGGAAGTGACGTATATGCCGTAAAGCAGTCGAATTTTGTAGTTCTCTTTGTTCGCCGGTTACTACCCGAAACCCGAAGTTTAAAAGTACGATTAAAAACGCTACAGACCCCGTCAGGCTATGGCAGACGTGTCATTCAACCTATTGTAAGTCGATGTACCATCACAAGAGACTTGGAAATATATTATGAAGGTTGAAAAGTAACCTAGTGCTGCTTTAATACTTGTTTTCTCTTATTTTAAATCATTTACCCCCTTGGAAGTGTGCGGAGACCCCCTAGAGGGCCCCGGCCCCTTGAATGAGGACCACTGAATTCTAGACGTTTAAATCCTTTCAGTTTGTTTTGATGGCTTTTTTGTGGTCTTTTTAATGCAGACTGAAGAGAAAAGACAAGCTTTAAATGCAGCCTTCAGCAAACACAACAAACTGATGGGAGAGGCACAGGATGGAAAAGGTTTGTGGGTGTTAGTGTTATTATATTTACATTGGGTAATAGATAATATATGGCAGGGACACATGTTTGAATGATCTTTGCACCTTTCAGGCTTTGACAGACACCTCCTGGGCTTGTACCTGATTGCTAAAGAGGAGGGTCTTCCTGTGCCTGAACTCTACTCAGATCCACTCTACTCTAAAAGGTCTGGCCCAACACTCTCATTCCAATGGTTCATTTTCAGTGTATTGATTTATTTCTATTGCAGTATAATGTAAAATTCTCTGTTTTACAGTGGAGGAGGGGGGAGTTTTGTGCTGTCTACTAGTCTAGTGGGCTATACTACTGTACTGGGAGCAGTTGCACCCATGGTTCCCCACGGTTATGGGTTTTTCTACCGCATCCGTGATGACAGGTCGGTTCATATCAGTTATTGTAATTTTTTCTATTAAGAAATTGTATTATTCTTTTTATATTTTATAAATGTTGTTGTTGTTTTTTTGTCATATTATAGTTTTAATTAAATTCCATATGCTTCTCATCCTATTGTAGAATTGTTGCATCCTGCACCGCTTGGAAGTCTAGTCCAGAGACAGATGCCGAAACCTTGTTTCAGAACCTCTGCACCTCTTTCCATGACATCATGCATGTCACTACTCTGTCCCAACTGTAAAGTAGAGCATTCTGGGAAGTATAGTCTAACCTCACTTTCTTTAGTTATGCCACTGGACAGGAAGCAAAGCTCTGCAGGGCTGAGATGATCTCATGCTTGACTTTCCCTTTAGACTAATCTAAATGTAAAGGGTTTTCATATGCTTCCTTTTTTCGGTCATATTCAGAATTTATACTGTAGAGACTTGAAAACAAATGTGATCTTTATTCCAGGAAGTTACTAGACATTAAGATGTTGATTTTCAGAAATAACCTGGAATAGTTTTAGTACAGCAGGTGCTTTAAACTCTCACGTGCCTTCAGTTAGTCATCTCTGAATTACTTAAATCAGGAAATCCTCCTCTGAGGTGCTGCATGATTTCTAACTGACCGTTTATGCTACATTAGCAATATTACTTCCTGTTAATTGTCGACCTGTGAAACTGTAGAATGTCACAGGATGCTTATGCAAATCCTTAAAGGGATAGTTCACCCAAAAATGAATATCCTGTCATCATTTACTCACCCTCAAGTTGTTCCCTTTCACCTGTTAAACAGAAAACAATATACCGGTATATTGAAGAATGCTGTTAATCAAATAGCTGACATGTAGCCATAGTTTTTTTTTTTTTTTTTTATACTATGGAAGTCACTGGCTACCGTCAACTGTTTGGTGACAGATGAAAGAAACTCGTACAGGTTTGGAACAACGTGAGGGTAAATTGAAGAGTAAATGATGACAGAATTTTAATGTTTGGGCCCTGCACTGCACTTCCCTTTAAATGGTTAGTTCACCCAAAAATGAAAATTCTGTCAGTAATTACTCACCCTCATGTTGTTCCAACCCTATAAGACTTTCGTTCATCTTCGGAACACAAATTAAGATATTTTTGATTAAATCTGAGAGCTGTCTCACTCCTCCATAGGCTTCTATGTAATTGAAACTTGCCGGCCCACAAAGTTAGTAAAGACAATGTTTAAAATAGTCCAAGTGACTACAGTGGCTCAACCTTAAGTGTATCAAGTGACGAGAATACTTTTTGTGCGCAAAAAATAACGACTTTATTCAACCATTCATTTTCTTCTGTGTGAGCCTCGAGTTAGTTCACGTAGTGTAACTGCGCAGCGCTTCTGGGTTGTACGTCAGAACGTAGGCTCACTATTGGCCGACGCTGGTCATGTGTGTGATGCGTGACACTACGTGAACTCACTCTGAGGCCCACAGAGAAGAAAATAAATAGTTGAATAAAGTCGTTATTTTAGTGGTTTTTTTTTTTTTTGTGCACAAAAAGTATTCTCGTTGTCTTTACTAACTTTGTCTTTACTAACTTTGTGGGCCGGCAAGTTTCAATTACATAGAAGCCTATGGAGGAGTGAGACAGCTCTCAGATTCAATCAAAAATGTGTTTTGAAGATGAACGAAAGTCTTACGGGGTTGGAACAACATGAGGTTGAGTAATTACTGACAGAATTTTCATTTTTGAGTGAACTAACCCTTTAAGTCCACTATATAGAGACTTTAACACAATGCAGTTTGATTTTTAAGCTGATCTTTATTCTCTAGTGACTCATAGGCAATAAACAGCCCTCAAGTGTGGAACTTGATCCTGACCTCGTATTCACCTCTTACATGCACAATAGATATACGGGTTGATTTAATATTTCCTATGCACAATCAATGCAACAGCCCAAATATAATTCCTCTTTACATTTCTTAATTTTAAGATTTTCTTAATTATCATGTGGCTTTTCAAACTTCAAGGCTAATTAGATATAAATGATTTTTTTTCATATTGAAGATATACATGCTGATGTAAAAATGTTTTACCGTTTGTTAAAAATTGTAGATTTGATTAAGAAACATTGAATAAATGTTCCTGAAAGTTGTCATTTCAGTTGGTTCAGATATTACAGGCTTTTTCCTTTCCACCTAAACCTTTTCCACTTGTTATTTTAAATGGCACATTTTGTCATGCATGCATGTAAATTTGAATGTGAATTGCCCACAAGTTTACCAAGAACACAGGTTGGCTTGTCACTCATTGCATACTCAATTACATGCAAAGATATTGCAAACATTACCACTGATTAAGTATTCGCAATGTATGAAAATCTGTATTTGTGTATGAATTTTAGTTGACCAAACTATCTTTATCACTCATGGCCTTAAACATGCCTGGTTGTTTTCAATTCTTACATTCTTGAGACTGACGTCTCTGATATGTGCATTGATTGTAAATATTTTACAGTTTCAATTGTAGTGGTTACAGCTCCCTAATTGCTTGTTTAAGCATAACGTTATTTTGTGTAAATAATTATGATAGTCTTTTAGTCCTCATTTCCTAAGAGTCTCAGTGTGAAAGCACACTGTTTTCTGGCGGGTCATTGACTCCAGCTGTGAACTTTGCTTCATATTTGTATGCAGCAAATTTTCAAACCAGTGTCTTGGTGAAGAATTTAAATTTTATGGAAAGACAAGTGAATTATTAAACCCTAAATTATCAAAATCTAGCTTGGCATATGGAATCCTTTCACTATGGCATTAAACCAGCGGTGAATGTGATTTAAGTTTGTAAACATTTATACAACTTAGCATGACATGATTATTCACTGTAACTGTTTCTAAAAGCATGTTTTGTTCTTATTGTGTGAACAATTCATCCATACATACGTTTCATATTTTAAAATATTTTGACCTTATAATCAAAACGATGTAACTGGATCTTCCAGTGAAGCGACATTTGATGTATTCTCTCGTGATTTATAAAAGATACCGAAGAAACATACAGAAATGTGCAGAAGAAAAGATCTGCCGCTACTTGTTTCATTGTCATTTACAAAAAAAAACATATATATATATAAAACTTTTTTTATCCTATAAGTAGACATACACAAACTACGATGGAAAGACATTTACCGAATAAATCCCTTGATGCACAATTAAAAAAAATTTACTGAAATTTAGAATTAAAGTCTACGGTCTATTTTTATGAGTCTCAACGTAGAATATGAAATAATGAGGTTAATGAAAAATGAAAACTTTATTCACATTTTTTTTTACACATGTGCTTGGAAAACAATGCCATAACAGGACAAAATAAAACAGTCTTATGTTAGTCTGATAAATATTAAGGCACAACACACATAAATCTATAAGGCAGTCAATCTTCATAATAGAAACTCTTTGGTCATCTTGTCACATGAAGAACAACAGCTGTCTTCACTAATGAGAAATCAACGCATTGTTTTTGAAAATACATATGATTTATGTTATGTACTGTATATATACCGTAAGTTACTGTACATCATTTTGTAAAAACAATCAAGTTTTTAATGTTCTGCCCTCAACAGTTTTTGTTGCATAAACTGTGCGTACAGTGTGTGACCAGTAAATGAGAGGATGGTAGTGCTTGGTAGGGTTAATACAAATTTTTTTTTTGTTTAATACAATTAAATCAGCAACAAGAAAGTGCTGAGTTGGATAAATGTTATGGCCTAAAACCCGAAAAGTACAACATGACAAGGCACTGACAGTTACACAAAACCACATCCTTATTATTTTCCTGGCTTCCTGTAGTACGGTAGATTGAAATGCCACTTAGATGAACCTAACAAATCAAATACAGGCCTGCAACCACAGGAGAGCGGTTATAAGGAATGTTTTCTAGAATCTGCCTTTTCGGCTCCAGCTGCATGTACACTGCTGCTCTGCTCTTGCCCATCAGTGACCCATCTGAGAGGTGACGAGGGTGTAGTACGCCCCCTTCTGGTGGAGGAGCTGATGATGTGTCCCCTGCTCCACCACAACCCCATTTTGAATCACAGCTATACGGTCTGCGTTCTGGATGGTGGACAGCCGGTGGGCTACAATGATGCATGTGCGACCCTCACGCGCCTTATCCAGAGCATCCTGCACTATCTACTCACAGGACAGAGAGGGACACAAAGGGAAGCAAGAACATTATCTTCACTATTTTCAAGCAGGTGTGAATCTCAATTTTCCTGTAAATACAGGAACAGATTGAATACTGTCTGTATGAACAGGTGAGCAAAGTCCATTCAATTCTCAAACTCATGATAGTTATTTATGGTTTATAACCATAGCGATATATAACACTCTAAAGAATGAACTGTGATCGTACCTTCTCACTCTCAGTGTCCAGAGCAGATGTGGCTTCGTCCAACAGCAAGACTTTGGGGTTGCGGAGGATGGCCCTCGCTATAGCAATACGCTGCTTCTGCCCTCCTGACAGCTGTGTACCCTTGTCACCTGCCTGCGTTTGGTATTTCTGCAACCAAAAACAAATAAATAAAAAATTCACACAATAAGATCTAGTTTATGACTGTAGACTTAAAAGACGTATAGTTGGTTATAAGATTAGAACATTTAGAGAGTTTATTGCATTTCCAATATCTGATATCTGCATTGAGGGATTTATTCGGTAAATGCGTTTCCATTGTAGTTTACGTGTATGTCTTCTTATAGGATAAACATTTTTTTAGAATGCACATCTTGCTGTTTTCATCCAGCGGTTTTTATATCCCAAAATTTGCATAAAAATAGGTGGATGGAAACAGCTCATTGTTTAAAAGTTTGGGATCTGCATCATTTTTAAATATTTTATTCATTTACTTGATCAAAAATACAGAAAAAAATGATATTGTGAAATATTATTACAATTTAAAACAAATTCTTTCTATTTTAATATATTTTAAAACCTAATTCCTGTGATGGCAAAGCTGAATTTTCAGTATTATCAGATAGCATACATATCCGGGGCTCAATATGGCTCAGTTCTGGCAGCGGCATATGGGCCGTATCTGGCCCACAAACAGCAAGCCACAACTCACCCTAAAACCGGCTTGATGTGTGTGGGCCAAATATGGCCCATATGACCTTTGCTGCTGCCAGAACTGACCCATATGTGCCATACTTGGCCCAGATGAGGCCCGGATATGTATGCTATTGCCACACACACTCAGGTTGAATCATCGCTGTCATTCCATGTGGTATCGTGGGAGATGTGGGCCTCAACTGGGCCAGATGTCATTTTCTATCTGGAGCAATGTTGAAATGGTTGTTCTGCTTAATAATTTTGTGGAATCCATGATACATTTTTTTCACAGGATTCTTTGATTATTAGAAAGTTAAAAAGAAAAGCATTTATATATATATATATTCTGTGTGTTTTTTGTACCTGTGGTAGCCCCTCTATGAAGGAGTGTATGTTAGCAGCCTTAGCGGCTTGTTCAATCTCCTCGTGGCTGACTTTTCTGTTGTTGTCTCCGTATGCGATGTTCTCTGCCAGGCTGCAGTCAAACAGCACAGGCTCCTGGGAAACAATGCCAATTTGAGAGCGCAGCCAGTGGATGTTCAGCTTCTTGGTGTCATTTTCATCCAGCATCTGTTAACAAAGGGTAACTGTAATTAGTTTGGGCAAATAAATATGATTTATTACTGGTATAATAGATTTTTTAGACTTGATTATATCATTGGATTTGTTACAATCTATCATGCTTTTTGACTTAACGGTCTATTTATTTTGCTATAATATTTATTTTATCTTTTTTTTTAAATGTAGTTATGTTCACATTTATTATAAAAATGCAGTGTGGTCACATTTCTTTTTGACTACCTTGGAATGTGGTTTGATCGATTGGATCACAAAAAATTAGGAACCGTTTACACTTTTAAGTGCTGTCCACTTGTGATTGAATCACCTGAAACATTGTTAATGGCATGTAAACAGGTCTGTGTTATATGACAGTCATAAGGACCTGAAGTATGCAGGTGAAAGAGAACCATCCTTTGATGCGCATGTCTGGGTTTCCTTTTTCTGGCCTCCCGTATTGGTAATAAGTTACCTTATCATTGACCTTGAGAGAGGTAATACGATTTTGACTTTTGTGAATTTAGTGTGAGTGTACTGTATAACAGTGTATGTGCATGAGTGACATTTCGCTGAGCTGGATCAGTGATTAGAGACCGTTAAAGCTACATGTCAATTGAGGTACCTGGGAAAAGAGTGGCCTTTGGGCTACTTGTCCGTCTGTGTTTTCACCTACCACTTTGCCTTGCTGAGGGTCATAAAATCTCTCCAGTAGCTGGATGGTGGTGCTCTTGCCACAGCCACTGCTGCCCACCAGGGCGAGAGTTTGCCCCTTCTTCACCCGGAGCCTGAGCCCCTGTAGCACTGGTACATCCGGCCGGGCCGGGTAGTTAAAACGCACATCTTCAAAACCCACATTCCCTTCAAATTTATCCTGCAGAAATCACAGGAAACAGCCACATTAGTGCACACGTGTATATACTAGTCTTGACATGACACAGGGTATTTACGGTGGGCAGAGTCCAGCTCTGTCTGAGTGCTTATCAGATTAGGATGGAGCTGCAGAACCGATAAATGATTAATTTTCGGGACTGATGCCTGGGACAGTTAATCATGACAGGCTTCTAGGAACTCTGAGATCTTGCCTAGAGGTAACACTCACTATAGTTTAAAACATTTTTTATCTCTTGTTGGGAATACTGTATATCCTGGTGTTCATATGTATGTAGTGTACGAAAGGAATACCGGCTTGTCTCCATTCTCTGAGGCGTTGTCAATGGCTGGGACTCTGTTGATGAGCATCAGTACATGAGAAGCAGACATCTTGGCCTTGGCGTAGTTTGGAGTGAAGGAGTTTGCCTCTCCAACAGCCATTGCTCCATACACAACAGCTGAGATCACACTGAGAGACAGAAACAGATATATTACCCATGGTTATTATCGTTAACTAAAACAATTTAAAAAAAAAACATTTTTCGAAACAAAATAAACGTTAGCTGAAATAAAATAAAATTTATATTTAAAAAATATTTTATTTCAGCTATTTGCCAAGACAACATTTTCTTTTAGTTTTAACTTGAAGTACTAAATAACTAAAACTAATAAATAAAAACCATATAGACGTATTTAAAACAACAACAAAACGACTAAAACATCCAGGATTTGGAAAATGAAACTGAAACACTGGCCAATGTTGTTGGAGGTTTCACGCATCAGTAATGTACTCAGAGCAGAGAGTGAAAGTTGAATAAGCAGAGTGTGTCTGTACATAAAATATGTACAGAGCCTGTACAGAAATACTGAAATCCACAAAACATAATGGGAGACATATCAGAGTTCAAAAGAGGACAAATTGTTTGTGTGCGTCTCGCTGGCTCATCTGTGACCTGGACAGCAAGTCTTTGTGGTGTATCGAGAGCTACGGTATCCAAGGTAGTAACTGTCGACTTAAGAGGAAAATGTCTGAAAAGGATGTCCAGGTACTAACCAGGATTGTATCCAAAAAAAACATAAAACCACTGCTGCCCAACTCACTGAAGGATTAAATTTGCACCTTGGCTTTCCTGTTTCCACCAAAACTGTTCGTCGGGAGCTCAACAGAGTCAATATTCATGGTCGGGCTGCTATAGCCAAACCTTTGGTCACTCGTGCCAATGTGAAATGTCAGTTTCATTAGTGCCAACAGTGCAAATCTTGGGCTGTGGACAATGTGAGACATGGTCTCTGATGACTCCACCTTCACTGTCTTTTCCACATTATCTGTAGAATTTACGTAGAATTTACAGTGTGGAGAAGCCCCAAAGCGGTTGCAGCCCAGAGTGAAGCACGGGGGTGGTTCAGTGGATTAGTGATGGTTTGGGCTGCAATATTATGGCATTCCCTATACTGTGCTTAATGCACACATCACTGCCAAGGACTACCGAACCATTCTGGAGGACCATGTGCACCTAATGGTTCAGACATTGTACCTTAAAGGGGGTGACATGTATCAGCACGATAAGGCACCAATACACACAGCAAGACTTGTGACAGCAATAAAGCTTACTAAAATAAAGAAAAATACAAATTACAGTATTGAGTTAATGAAAATACTGATGTTTTCCCAACTCATTATTCCAGTTATTATCAGTCAGATTACATTGCATATATGATGTACCGGTATATGTGTTGCCCATTTCATCATGTTTATTAGTTCTCTTAAAGGGTTAGTTCACCCCAAAATGAAAATTCTGTCAGTAATTACCCACCCTCATGTTGTTCTAACCCCGTAAGACTTTCGTTCATCTTCAGAACACAAATTAAGATATTTTTTATTAAATCTGAGAGCTGGATCACTCCTCCATAGGTTTCTAAGGGATTGAAACTTGCCGGCAGAGCCGGCCGAGCCACTAAGCGACCGTTGCAATTGCAAAGGGCCCCGTGGCCAGCAGAGGGCCCCCTAGAGTCACTGCTAGCTGGGGGGGGGGGGTAACATACAATAAATAAATAAAAAGAAATGGACCTACAGCGCTCTTTATCAGGCATCATGATAAGCACAGAGTTGTTATTTATTTAGTTCTGTATTATGGCAAATCAACCGGGAGCTCCCCGCGAAGGCGCGCGCGCGTCTTGATCCCGACTGCCCCTATGATGTCACTCGTTGTCACTTGGTCAGTCAGTTAGCGACTCCGACGAATCGACGATGTCTGACAAGAAACGAAAATATCTTTCTGGCCAAGAAAAACGACAAAAAAGAGCCTGGAAGAAGAGAAGAAGCGAGAAGATAAAGGTACGTAAGCCTGTAGGCTTAATTTTCCGATTTCTGTAATATGGATAATCTGCACTAAAAGTCTTAACATTAGCCTAAATCGTGCTTGTATTAATTTTCTACAGTTGTTTAATTTACATGCTAATAACATGCTGCATAAAATTGGTTTAGTATTAGGCCTATACCATTTGCTGTGGTGTTACTGTTAAAGCATTTAACAGAACAATATAAACCCAGTTTGGATTCTACACTTAAGGGCTAACATTAGTTTACTCCTTATGTCCCCTTAGGAGTACTATTAAAGTAACGTTATGCTGCCAGTAAGCAAAGCTCCAGCTGTTGGTGAGTATAAAGGGGCTGTAAAATGATAACCTTCTGCATTTTAAAAAATTAAGTCTAACTTTATGTATAATTATTTTCTTTATTTGGATTGGATTTTAATAGTTATATTGAAATGTTACCTTATTCTTAATATTGTTACTATTGATCTTCTTTGTGGTGTTTTAGATGTTATTGTTAATTTTGTTTATTTGAAAAATCTATTTATTATTTTATATAATATTATATTTAAATGTTATTCTATTTGCTCTATTTAATTTAAATTGTATATATATATATATATATATATATGTGTGCTGTAGTTTGTGACTCTTAAACTCTGGTGTCAATAAAAATGTATCTTTGTTCAGTGATAATCACTTTATCTGTCTTTTTATTCAGCAAGTTTGTGTGTGTGTGTGTCTTGCACTGCCATTCAGCTCAGTGGTATCATAATTTTCCTGTTAGACATCAAACATAGTATATACAGTATAATATAGTTATATAGTATGGTATAGTTATAAGGTAGTCATTGCTTTTCTTTAGGCCTTAAAACGGTCAAAGGGGCCTCCAACCAAATTTTGCTTAGGGCCCCCAAAGGTCTAGGGCCGGCTCTGCTTGCCGGCCCAGAAAAGTTATTAAAGACATTGTTAAAATAGTCCAAGTGACTACAGTGGCTCAATCTTAAGTTTATCAAGCGACGAGAATACTTTTTGTGTGCAAAAAAACAAACAAAAATAACGACTTTATTCAACTATTCATTTCCTTCTCTGTGGGCCTCGAGTTAGTTCATGTAGTGTAACTGCACAGCGCTTCTGGTTGTACGTCACATATATCACACACATGACCAGCGTTGGCCAATAGTGAGCCTACGTGTGACGTACAACAGAAGCGCTGCGCAGTTTCACTACGTAAACTAACTCGAGGCCCACAGAAGCCTATGGAGGAGTGATCCAGATCTCAGATTTAATCAAAAATATCTTAATTTGTGTTCCGAAGATGAACGAAAGTCTTATAGAGTTGGAACAACATGAGGGTGAGTAATTACTGACAGAATTTTCATTTTGGAGTGAACTATCCCTTTAATAACTGATTGATTAAATAGCAGTGTTTAGCCATAGCCTCCAATTCTAAGTTTTAATTATCTCTGTTTGAAAGCCCTCTTTTTAGATAACATGAATCTTCTTGAATCTTCTATCTGCAAATGTAATGGATCACCAGCCTCATCTGTATGTTGTCTTAGAGACCATCTACATTCATGGCACATCTGGTTAGTTTTTTTGTACTTTTCTTTCTATAATCATTAACTGACACTGTAGAAACCAGCAGACTTTGGACCTTCCAGTCCACTCCCACCAGACACCTGTACTTCAGTGTGTTTTATCTTGAGTGTGGAAATATTGCGCATGTGTCTCTACTACCTGATCTCACTCACATTTGAACTACCTGTGACAGACACACAAAACTACTCTGGATCATGTTAATACTACTGTGGAGTCTTTTCTCCACATATTCCTCCGTCTGCTGTGAGTGGGTCTAATAACAGTCATGTATCGAGTCACTTACAGGAAGACGCCCTCGAAGGTCATCAGCTTCTGTTCAATGAGCCAAGAGCCGAACTTGAAACAGCCAGCATAGGCAAAATAGATCATCGCTTGAGAGAAAGAGAACGTCAGGCCGAAAACATGTGCTTTTTTCTTAGCGTTTCTAGGGAAATCAGACAAACATCAATTATCTCACAAGCTCATTTTGAATCCTAACAGATATATAACAGACATTTACAGAATTATTATTAGTCAATTTAAACATACTTGTAGGGCACAACTAAGTTCTCCTCATACAGACTCTCAAACTTGCTTTCCCTGGTCAACGAAACCACAGTGCGGATATTTTCAATGGCTTCTGTTGCAATCTAAATGGGAAAAATACATTGTGGACAACATAGTGAAATAAAACAGTTGATTTAAGTTTAGCCACATTCAAGTTTATGCATTAAATGTTCACCTTCCCAGCATGCTCAAGCTCTTTCTTGTCTTTTAGAGCATGTCCTGCCAGTAACTTCATCTGGATGGCTCCAGCCACAGCCATGATTGGCACAATGGAGAGAATGAGGAGGGTCAACTGCCAGCCGTACACAAATGAGATGATAATGGCGGTGCCCAGGTTGGCCACATTCTGTGCCAGTGTTGCCATTCTCACTCCAGTTGCCTGTGGGAAATAAAGTCATGGTGCCGTTTGAGATGAGCTACTGTGTTAAATGGGTACCAATGTGAATTTATAGTAAACAAAACATTTAATTTACATTTCAACAATTATACAATTACATTTTTTTATTTAATGACCAATATTTTACTTCATTTGTACACCATCAAAATGTACAATTGTTGTCATGTTGCTAAAGCACACCAAACAGAAATTGATTTGAGCTTATTTTCACAAAAATACAGTAAAAGAGTAAGTAAACAGAGAATATCATCAATAGTTATGAACTTCTTTGTTACTGAACATGGGTATCAATTTAGGAGATTGGCACAAAGTTCTATGTAGGACTATGTGTTACTCTTTGTTGATAGAGTGAGACTTACGCCCTGCACTTGAGCTGTATCTGCAGCCAGCCTGGTGGTCAGCGCACCCACACTGTTCTTAGTGTCATCATACCAGCTCAGGTCCTAAAATACACAGACAGGTGTTGTCCTACCCTCCATCAACTGACATTCATGAATAGGTTCTTTGGGGTTGACCTTCTTATGACTGGTCTATGTCAATTATCATCTCACCTGTCTCATCATGGCATTGAAAGCTTTAAACCTTAGTCGCATGGTCAGAATCTCACCAGCTTTCCCAAAAGTGTAACCCTAAAAGAAATTAAAATATTAAAAAAGGAAAAAAAAAAGAGTGAAAATGACACCAGAATAAGACCATTTAGACTGTTGGAAGCAAGATTTTTGAAAGGGGGACGTTCACGAGTTTACACCAAAGATCCAGGCAAGACAAGATTAAACATAATTGCCTACAACATTGAAATATGCCAGTTTAATGTAGACATGTAAGCTATGTATCGTTTCTTTTGCAACGACTCGATTATTTTTCCAGTCATAGACCAGCGCTCAAGCACTGACTAGAATCCAGAATTCACGTGCTCAAAAATGTGTTTCGCGCTGACAACAATCCAGCGCTGACTAGAATCACGCAGCGGAGGAATGGAAAGTTGACAAGCCATTAAAAAAAAAGTAGGCCTGTTGACTTAAGAACCACTTATATATTTTCAATAAATCATGTTCCCATTCACTACGGCGACGAATTTTAAAATTAATTAAACTAAATTCTATTTATAAGGTAAAACCTTTAAATTTTTGGGCATTTACTAATGCCAATGCCTAATGCCAAAATGTTTTCTTTGCTCACCAAGTAATTTACTGGTCAGGCATTATTGTTAACTCGCAAGACTGTAAGGAGAAAATGACAATTTGATGGATAATTTAAATATATTCTGTAATCACATCAGTTGTGCTGCTTAATATTTTTGTTGAAACTGATCCTTTTTTTCAGGACTCTGTATTGTTGAGGAAATAAAGAACAGTAAATATTTTAATATAAAGCTTTTGCAACATATATTAATAATATATATATTATAATACACTTAAAATGAAAAACTTATTTTTAGTACATTTAAATTGACCTTTTCTAATCATTTCTGTTCTTTTTACTTTTTTTATTTCTACAAAAGTTAAATGTAATCATTCAGCATTTCAAATCTTTAGCATTGGTAGTTTGAAGAAGCAAATAATTGACAGCTATGTCTGCTATTCATTGGCGTAGACAAAGTGGTATTTCACAACAGTCATAAGATTTTAGATAAGAAAGATCACAATAACTTTTTACCTTCTTCATCTCTGACTTTTGAATTGAATATGTATTAAGATGGCACCCAAGAACTGTATTATATAGGGTGTCTTAGGCTAGTTCTACAATTTTCATTTAGTGTGAAAGTTGGTTAAAGTTCATTGTGTGTATTCAAATGTAAATGATAACACAAAACAAACCTGTAAGAACAGAGTGAAAAAGGACACAACCCCAATGGCAGCAAACAGCAGAGAGTAGAGTTCAGACCTCTGCCTTACAACATTCTGATCTATCTCAGCAAACACCTACAGAGGAAAGAGGAAAGAAAGAAGAGGTGGGCCATAAATGTATGAGTAATGTCTCAATATTGTTGACTGTCAATAATGGTAATTATTAAGATATCATTTTCTTGTACAACATACAGCAATGATTTTAGAGAAAATAACAGCAAATGCGGGCTGCATGCCTCCGTTGATGGTGGCACATAAAACTCCAACCACCATGTACGGCCATTCCGGTTTATTCAGTTTCAGGACCGTCAGGAAGGAGATGTTTGGAACCTTTTCCTACAGAGAAGTAAAATACAAAAAAACTTAAAACGAAAAGAAGTATGTAAAATAATTACAATCAAATAAAATGAATAATTTTAATTGAATCTTGATCGTAATATGAAGTTCCTTAAAAAAGGAAAGAAAAAATGATTTAATTTATGAAGATGACACTCACAGCGAAATAATGTCACCAGACAGATGGATTTATGCAACTTTTTTTAAACTATCCCATTTTGGTTTGATTTGAATTGGATGTATAAAAATAAAGCTATTAAAAGGAATTAAATTGATGAATTAATTGATAAATATAGGCAATTATAGCCTCAGTTTCTTACTTCCTCTATCTGTTTCTCTTCATCCTGCTGATCTTTTTCTGAGCCACTTCTGGATTTCTGTCTGAAGAGTGTGTGATCATTTAGAGAGGTGACTGAAGGACTCTTCTCATCCATAGTCATCTCTTCTTTGTCCTCCTCTGTGTCCTCTGTGCTCTTAAACATCTGTGATGTAAAAACAGGAACTCAAATTGGACCCCATTTACATTCTGAACACATTTTCCCTGTATAACACTGTTTCCCTGCTAAACAGAAGATCAAGTTATGACATTTTGATTAAAAATTACAGACTCAATGTGATGTTAATGCCGTTTCATGTTTTAAATAGGCTTTTTTTAACCTTTAATGAAAGAACAGTAGGAGGAGAGACAGGAAACATTGGGAGAAGAGAGGGGGAACAGGATAGGGTGGCCATTTCCATAACACCAAAAAGGAGGACACTTTGCGGCATTTAGTGAGGCAAGAATAATTGCATAGGACTCTGGTGTACTCGCAAAAGCAATGCAGTTTTGTCCATCATATCGATGGTATCATGATACAGTGATTCTGAAATAGCCTACTCTATTCATTGACAGACCATTTGATCTACGATATATCTTGATGTAGACCTATGTGTAACAGAAGAGGCAAAAAAGTGTATTTGTATTTATTCAAGACATTGTGATGTCTGTTTCAAAAACTGACCACTGAGATGAACCTGTCTTGCAAAGTGCACAGAGCCTGAAAACATAACATTTCTGGACTTCTGGGAATAAAAGAAATACATAAACAAATAATGAATGCGAAAAATAAATAAATACACATTTCAGTTCTTAACAAAGAGGTTCACCCTCCGCAGCAGCTCAGGCGACAACAGCACTTGATATAAATTCGTGCTCTTTTGTCCATTCCGGATTAAATGAGGTCTGACGTTTCGGCATGTTAACGTTATGATATGACGTAGCCAGCACGTGGAGGCTTGTTTACGTTTTTAACCAATGATATATCAGATATTTATTTGACACCGCTTTCAGCCAATCATTTGTTTGACCAGAGATCTTACGGCATTAGACGCTATGCTGCTGCGTCCCAATAAAGATTCAAGAGCGGGGTTTTTTTAGGCCGATTTAGCGCAACTCCAAAAAGGAGGACAAATGAGTGTCCGGCTTGAGGCTGCGCCGGACAGGGGGCTTAAAATCCGGACTGTCCGGCCAGAATCCGGACGTATGGCCACCCTAGAACAGGACCCGGAAAGGCCCTCAAGCCAGGACTTGAACTCGGGGTGCAGCTCCACCAGATATAAGAGTGTTGCCACAAAGCTCCAGCTTTTCAATGGCAACGGGCTTCAGTTGCAAATGGAGCTCAAGTGTGTACAAGTGTTGTACTATGGGTTTCTAACCTGCATAGTAACAAGAGTATGGTAGATTCCCTTTCTCTCCATCAGTTCCTCATGTGTGCCCAGTTCTGCTATTTCACCATTCTGGAATCCAGCGATGACATCAGCGTTCCGAATAGTGGACAGCCGGTGAGCCACTATAATGGTGGTTCTGCCCAGCCTCACCTTTTCAGATGTAAATTTTTTTTTTATATATATATATATATATATATATACACAAAATGTTCTGTGTATTTCCAGACTTTTCTGGACTGCTATATTTTTTTATTACCTTATCTAACGCTGCTTGCACGATGGTCTCACTCTCGGCATCCAGAGCAGACGTAGCCTCATCAAGAAGGAGGATTTTTGGATTGCGCACAAGTGCTCTTGCAATAGCAATACGCTGCTTTTGTCCACCACTCATCTGGGTGCCCCTGTCTCCAACCAGCGTCTCAAATTTCTGAAAATGACCAGAGATATTGGTCAGAGCATACCTGATCAATCTTTGTTATCAGATCAAATCATCACCTTATACATAATAATTATTTTGCAAGGTCTTATCCTACATCAGGGAGCTTCATGATGAAGTCGTAGGCATTGGCTTCGCGTGCAGCCTGCTCAATCTCCTCTTGGGTGACATCTTGGCGACCATAGCGGATGTTTTCTGAGATGGTGGTGGCAAACAGCACTGGCTCCTGACTGACTACCCCAATCAGTTCTCTCAGACTTCGAACATTCAGAGAGCGAATATCATGACCGTCAATAGTCACCTGATGAGTTAGAGGAAAAGAAAAAAGAAAAAAGTTTGGATGAAGGACAGAAAGTTCAAATAGTTCATACCTCTCTGGCTCTCTTTCTACTTACCGTTCCTTCTTGTGGGTCATAGAAGCGTTGTAGCAGCTGGACTGTTGTGCTTTTCCCACACCCACTGCTGCCCACCAAAGCAATGGTCTGTCCACTCATGACTTTAAGATTCATTCCATTCAGGACCTACACAGCCAAAAGAGATCCATAGCTAGTCATTTAATTCTGTCAAGTTATTTTGTTCAAGTTATTATTATTTTTTTAAATCATTTGATGTTCCTACTTTAACATCCTGTCGTGACGGATATTTGAAGTGAACGTTTTTGAACTCTATGTTTCCTTTTACAACATCAAGTTTGTAACCTTCCTCCGAGAAACTGTTAATGTTGGGTTCCTGTTGGTGAAAAAAAAGAATTGTGAGATTTAAAATACAAATTCCAGTAAGGGATAGAGGTAAATTCACAATCAAACCTCATTCAGACTAATAGACGTCAATAACGTCTCGGTTACGGATGTAACCCTCGTTCCCTGAGTAGGGAACGGAGACGTTCCGTCGGATGACGACGAATGGGGGTTTCGCTTAGAAGCCAATCAACTTCAAATACTTCAAAACGAGCCAATGGCAAAGAAATGCCATGGGTCTGCGGAATTTGCATAGCGTAACTCCGCCTCACCTCGTGAGTATATAAGGAGAACGCTGGCAGCAAATAGCATGTTTCTTCGCTGAGGAGCCAACCTGAGTTCAGGCGATCCCCGCGGTACAGCGGAAGTGGCAGGAAGACGGAACGTCTCCGTTCCCTACTCAGGGAACGAGGGTTACATCCGTAACCGAGACGTTCCCTTTCGTTGTCACTCCGAGTTCCGTCGGATGACGACGAATGGGGATACCAGTCTAATCACGCCACTTCTCAGCTGTCTTCCAGTGCCCTGCGTAAATCTGAGATCCCTGTCGTGAGACTAGCACGGACGAAGGACTCCTATTTAACACAGGAAAACCAAGGTACACTGGGGAGCATATCCCAGGTCTTAGGGAAGTATGCAATTACTGCCAACCCAGAGGGGGGGACTTAGAAATACACATATGACCCCGAGGGATGCATATGGGGAATCACTGGGGTATCCAGCCGCAGGTGGAATATTTCAACCCCAGGGGTGGCAAGGTGGCTTGCCAAGGGAAAGACACATGCTCAGAGAGGCTTACAGTGGGAATACACATGTGGGGGTAGCTCCGGGAGGTACCATGCACACGGGAGGCACCTAGCCGACGCACAGGCAAGAGACACTGGCGCCGACGTCAGGAGTGCTGGAGGAGCTCAGGGCTTTCGGAGAAGCTCACCTGAGGAGAATATCGCACGTATCCAGTCCGTAGAGTGGAATGGCGAGCAAGCGAAGACACCTGAGCGGGTCCGGTACTAGCTGGTTGAAGCGAGTACATGAGAGGACACAGGCTCCACTCGGAGATTGTAGAATCTGGCGAAAGTGTTAGGTGTTGCCCAGCCTGCAGCTCTGCAGATGTCTGTTAGCGAGGCGCCATGCGCTAGAGCCCAAGAGGATGCCACACTCCGGGTGGAGTGGGCAGTCACACCAAGGGGGCACGGTCGACCTTGCTGCTGGTACCAAAGCAATGGCGTCCACTATCCAGTGAGACAACCTTTGCTTGGAGAGAGCCTTTCCCTTCAGCTTCCCACCATAACAGACAAAGAGCTGGTCTGAGGTCCTGAAACACTGCGTTCTGTCTACATAGATGCGAAGAGCACGTACTGGACAGAGCAGTGCCAAGGCTGGGTCTGCCTCCTCCGGGGGCAGCGCTTGCAGGTTCACCACCTGGTCCCGGAAGGGAGTGGTAGGAACCTTGGGCACATATCCAAGCCGGGGTCTCAGGATCACGTGAGAATAGCCCGGCCCGAATTCTAGGCACGCTTCGTCAACGGAGAATGCGTGCAGGTCCCCCACCCTCTTAACGGAGGCCAATGCAGTCAGAAGCGCTGTCTTCATAGATAGGAAGTTTAGCTCGACTGACTGCAAAGGCTCAAAGGGAGCACTACGCAGGGCAGTTAGGACCACTGCGAGGTCCCAAGAGGGTACGAGAGGAGGGCGAGGAGGATTCAGTCTCCTCGCTCCTCTCAGGAACCTGACGATCAGGTCATGCTTCCCCAAAGACTTACCTTCTATAAGGTCATGCTGTGCGGCAATAGCGGCTACATAGACCTTAAGGGTGGAGGGAGACAGCCTTCGCTCCAACCCTTCTTGAAGAAAGGAAAGCACAACACTGATCGAACAACTCCGGGGCTCTTCTCGGCGAGAAGAGCACCAGCTGACGAAGAGGTTCCACTTCAACGCATAGAGGTGTCTCGTGGACGACGCTCTAGCGGAAGTGATGGTAGCCGCCACCGCTGGTGGCAGGGTACTCAAACCTGCCTCGTCCCGTCCAGGAGCCACACGTGGAGGTTCCACAGATCGGGACGAGGGTGCCATAGGGTGCCCCGTCCCTGAGAAAGGAGGTCCTTCCTCAGAGGAATCGGCCAAGGAGGTGCTGTCGCGAGGAGTACAAGTTCGGAGAACCAGGTCCGGGTGGGCCAGTACGGCGCGACCAGAGTGACCTGCTCCTCGTCCTCCCTGACCTTGCGCAGGAGTTGTGCAAGAAGGCTCACTGGGGGAAACGCATATTTGCGGCCCCGCGGCCAGCTGTGCGCCAGAGCATCCGTGCCGAGCGTGCCCTCGGTCAGGGAATAATACTGGGCGCAATGGGTCGAGTCGTGAGAGGCAAACAGATCTATCTGTGCGTCCCCGAACTGGTCCCAAATCAGCTGAACCGTCTGGGGATGGAGTCGCCAATCTCCGGGGAGGGGCTGAAGCCGTGACAGCTCGTCGGCTGCACAGTTCAGGGCTCCAGGGATGTAAATGGCTCGAAGCGACCTCAGATGCTTCTGACTCCATAAGAGGAGGTGGCGGGCGAGTTGCGACATACGGCGGGAGCGCAGACCACCTTGACGGTTGATGTACGCTACAGTGGCGGTATTGTCTGTTCGGACTAGTACGTGTTGATTCTTGAGCACGGCCCGGAAGCGGCGCAGAGCAAGACGTACAGCCTGCAACTCGAGGCAATTGATGTGCCATAAGCGGTGGGGTCCTGTCCAGGAGCCCGCGGCAGCACGTCCATTGCACATGGCACCCCAGCCCGTGGTGGAGGCATCTGTCGTTTCAACAACATGCCGGGAAGCTCGTTCCAGAGGCACTCCTGCCCGTAGAAAGCTGAGGTTCCCCCACGGGGTGAAGGTCTGACGGCAGGTCGGAGTAACTGGTACTCGGAGCGTGCCGTGTTGCCATGCCCACCTCGGGACTCGGTCGCGAAGCCAAAGCTGAAGCGGTCTCATATGAAGCAATCCGAGCGGCGTTGCCGCGGCTGCAGATGCCATATGCCCCAGGAGCCTCTGAAAGAGTTTCAGTGGAACCGCACTCTTGCCCTCGAACTGTCTCAGGCAAGTCAGCAGTGACTGCGCGCGCTCGCTCGTAAGCTGCGCGGACATGGCGACCGAGTCGATCTCCATACCGAGAAAAGAGATCCTCTGCACGGGGCAAAGTTTGCTCTTCTCCCAGTTGACCCGAAGGCCCAAACGGGCTACATGGCGGAGTACCAAATCCCTGTGTTCGCAAAGCTGATCTCGAGAGTGAGCTAGAATCAGCCAGTCGTCGAGATAGTTCAGAATGCGAACCCCGTGTTCCCGGAGGGGAACAAGGGCTGCCTCGACGACCTTCGTGAAGACGCGAGGGGACAGGGCTAGCCCGAATGGGAGAACTGCGTACTGATATGCCTGTCCCTCGAAAGCAAACCGTAAGAACGGTCTGTGTCGAGGGAGAATGGAGACATGAAAGTAGGCGTCCTTCAGGTCGATCGCTGCAAACCTGGTGCCGCACACATTCGAAAACGCGTTTGGCGGTGAGCATCTTGAACGGCAGCCTGTGAAGGGAGCGGTTCAATACGCGCAGGTCCAGGATTGGCCGTAACCCACCGGTTTTCTTCGGGACAATGAAGTAGGGGCTGTAAAACCCGGACCTCATTTCGGCTGGAGGGACAGTCTCGATCGCACCCTTCGCCAGCAGGGTAGCAACCTCCGCTCTCATGATAGGGGCATTGCCACCGACCAAAGTGGAGCGGACTCCCCTGAAGCGGGGAGGAGACCGCGCGAACTGAATCGCGTAGCCGAGCCTGATCGTTCGTGCGACCCAGCGGGACAGGTTGGGAAGCTCTAACCAAGCTCCCAAGGACTGCACCAGCGGAGTCATGCGAACCACAGACTTCCCGTCGGTGGGGCAGCGAGGCGGTATGACTGACCCAGACGTGGACGGCATAGCGGCCCGATGTGGGGGTGCAGTCATGAACCGCGCCCTGACAGAGGAGACCAGGGAAGGACGAACGTTCCACGGGGGTCTGCTCTGCCAGGGGTCTGGCGACAGAGGGGGATGAGAGTGGTGCGGTCCGGGGACGGCACGCACTGTCATCCGGCTCTGGGACAGAGGAGGACGAGGGGTGCACGGCCCGGGGGCGGCGCACCGTGTCGTCCAAGAACTCTGTGTGCTCAGGGATGAACGTGTTATTTCTTTCTTTAACCACATTAGGGTACTGCCCACCCGTGGGTGAGCAGCGGAGAGTGGAGAACAAAAGATTCTCCCCCGGCCCTCCACCGGGGGAAGGAGTGGTCCTGCAACCACCTCCTGAGAAAAACACGTCATCCCTGAGCAGCCCGTCTCAGGAGCGCCGCTTGGCCCGGCGTTTAGCGGGGGGCGGGGCTGGAGAGGGCTGGGGCGCCTTCTTGCGACTTCCTCCGCGACCGGGCCCGGGTGGAGGCTGCTGCTTGGGCCGGGCGGGAGGGGCGGGAGTCGCAGGAGGGCGCCCTCGGCGGCGAACAGACTGAGTACTCTGCCCGGTCGGCTGGGTGGAGGCAGCAGCGGGCCGTCGGGGCAGAATATGCTTGATAGCCTCAGTCTGTTTCTGCGCAGTCGAGAACTGTTGGGCAAAGTCCTCGACTGCACCGCCGAAAAGGCCATCTTGCGATATGGGGGTGTCGAGCAGCCGGGACCGCTCGGCATCCTTCATATCGGCAAGATTAAGCCAAAGATGTCTCTCCTGGACCACGGCTGTGGACATCACCAAACCCAGGGAGCGTGCGGTCACCTTCGTCGCTCGGAGAGCAAGGTCGGTGGCGGCACGCAGCTCATTGAAGAGCCCTGGGTCCGTCCTACCCTCGTGCATGTCCCTGAGCATCTGGGCCTGGTAGACCTGCAGAATGGCCATGGCATGCAAAGAGGTGGCTGCCTGTCCCGCAGCTCTGTAGGACTTCGCCACTAACGTAGACGAATACCTACAGGCTTTGGATGGGTGCTTTGGCTCACCACGAGACGAAGCGCTCTGAGGACACAGTTGCATCGCAACAGAGCGTTCGACCGGGGGAAGCCCAGTGTACCCACGGGCAGCGGCCTCATCGAGGGGAGGAAAGGCGGATGAGATCATCGAGCGGTCACGGGAAGACATGGGAGTCTTCCAGGACTTCGAGATCTCATCATGCACGTCCGGGAAGAAAGGTATCGGGGCCTGACGCGGACGGGGGTCCGCAGCCTGACCCAAATACCAGTCATCCAGCCGCGAGCGCTCGGGACAGGGCGGAGGGTTCCACTCTAGCCCGATGCTCGCGGCGGCTCGAGACAGCATGGCCGTCATCTCTGGATCTGACTCTGGCACAACTGTAGTCACACCCGAAGGCGGCAGCTGTGATGAGTCTTCACTTCCAGCAGACTCCGACCCACCTTGTGATGCTGCAATAGACATGGCATCTTCCTCTGGAGCGCCAAAGGAAACCCGCGGGACACCCGAAGATGATCTCGCCGGAATCCCCTGAACACTCACGGGTTGCAGCATTGGAGAGGGTGCGGCTGGGCACGGACTGATAGTCGGCGCTTGGTTCCAAACCGTCACCCTCAGATCACCCTGGCCACCAGCCGAAGTACTAGCTCTATTTCTAGAGTCAGTAGATCGGGGTGTGGATGAGGGGACCCTCACTCTTGCGAGATCACCGAGTCTTGACCGTAATGCTGCGATGGTCATGTTCCCACAGAGAGAACATGAGTCATCCACGAGTGCTGCTCTAGCGTGATCAATGCCCAAACACACTATGCAGCACCCGTGCCCATCAGAGTCGTCAACCAGCCTACCGCAACCAGAAGTGCACGGGCGAGGCATCTTTAAAAAGACGTGCCACGTGCAAGCTCTTTTGTGAGAATAGAAACCTGATTGTGTTGAAGCGCTCGGGGAGAAACACACTCGCTGTCGAACCACAGACAGATAAGCAGGAAGTGCGCGCTCGCCGAAGATCGCCGTCACACCAACACCAGAGAATCTTGCTCGTTTGAAGAACTGACAATTTCAGGAATAGCTTGTGGAACGAAGGATTAACTTGGCTCCAAAGCGAAAACATGCTATTTGCTGCCAGCGTTCTCCTTATATACTCACGAGGTGAGGCGGAGTTACGCTATGCAAATTCCGCAGACCCATGGCATTTCTTTGCCATTGGCTCGTTTTGAAGTATTTGAAGTTGATTGGCTTCTAAGCGAAACCCCCATTCGTCGTCATCCGACGGAACTCGGAGTGACAACGAAAGGGAACACACTAATTGCTCTACACAAGAGAAAAATGATTCCCCGTGGTCTTCTATTCATTGCATCTCAGCAGGGAACCACCTCTGATCCTGAGACCTGGCCATATATCATGCTGCTAAAACAATGAGGGGAAGTTATGCAACTTGGCTCTGGATTATTTGTGCGCACATTTTTGTCTCTGATTTTATCTCAAAGCGGTTGTCTGCTTACCGTGTGTGTGGTGTTTGTTTAAACTTGACCATCTTAGTCTAAATAAAAGACAAGTTTAGTGCTGTGTGTATGTGTTTTGATTGTCCAGGCTTTTCCTTCTTGGAAAAATGGACAGAAGTTAAATATAAAACAGTTCTGACGTTCTGTCATGTTCAAATATTTAAAACACTGAAGTGAGCTAAATGAGCTGCACTTTCTGAAGGAGAAAGGAGATGTAGATTTACTGTACTTTCACATGGGTGGGATTGGCTAAATGATCTGTACTGTACAAGACAGGACACGACAGGACAGCTGAAGGGATATAACAATGGCCAGAATACATCTGGAACTATAGCACAACAAAGTCAGGAAACAATACAATAAGCCAGGTTTACCTAATATTTCGACAAATGGATTTTCCACCAACTTTTCCAGGGATTCATGATTGCATAAAGTATCTTTAAATTAATTGGCTGAAAAGAAATGGCTGCAAATAAATAAATGTAAACATTTGTACTTATTTACACTACCCTTCAGTATATCAATAAGATTTTTTTTTTTTCTGTAGAAGTGAAAGTAAAGACATTTTTAATGTTACAAAATATTTCTATTTCAAATAAATGCTGGTTAAACGTTCCATTCATCAAAGAACCCAGAATGTTTCTTGAGCACCAAATCAACATATTAGAATGATTTCATAAGGATCATACGACAGTACTGGCCATTGAACATTCAGCTTTGTCATCAAAGGAATACATTACATTTTAAAATAGAAAAATAGAAAATAGTTGTTTTAACTTGTAATAACATTTTACAGTATTACTGTTTTCACTGTATTTTTAGGAGAGACTTCTTTCAAAAACATTAGAAAATCTTACCGACCACAAACTTTTTAACAGTAACATTTCTGTACAAAATGGCCTCAGATATGAATGTGGCTCATGAACATGGGAGCTATTTATACTTATACCATCTTATTAATTAGTTAAATTCTTGGCCTCAAGCCTTTTAAAAGACATGGATGGATATATTGTGTTATGACAATTACTGTAGGAGAATTCAATCTGAACAAGACATGAAATGTCAATAAGAGTTTAGAAGCTATAAAAATGCAGTGCTATTTCTTTTTAAAAGGGGAAGTGTTAGTTTTAGATGGGAGGAACGGTCAGAGTTCAGGTTTAAATTTTTTTTTTTTACTCCTTAATGCAGAGAATAAAATATTAATATCCTGTCTAACACCTCAGGTAGCAATTATATTATGGAACTGCATTGAGGACAATTGTTTTTTTCCCAACATTATGAATTATAATATCCTGAACGAATTTATGATTAGCTAACAATGAGTTCACTCACATGATCAATAATCTGGAAAACTTTGTGGGCGGCCCCTCTTGCACTAGAGAAGGACTGGATGTTAGGAGACGTTTGACCGATGCCGAAAGCTCCAATTAGGACGGAGAAGAAAACCTGAAATAGAGGAACAGAAAATGCACTCGTGAAACAGCCTCATGCATATTTAACAATCTGCTTTAAGTTCCCATGAAGAAAACATAACCACTTGCTATTTATGATGTAATCGTTTTTTTTTTTTTTTTTTATCCTACAATATTTGACATATGACCGAATTCTGGACCAATGTGACTGTGGGCTTTAAATACTGTAGAAGACCAAAGAGTTTCTGAAGTAATGTGTTTGACATAACCCTGCTGTGACTCACCGTTAAAAGTATACCGACATCATACTCTCTAGCCAGGATAAGAGTGCTGCCATACCAAAAGGCCAATGCATAGGACATATAGATCATGAAGAATGTGAAGCCCATAGCAATGTTCACAGTGATGGCCTTCCTTATGCCAACGTTCTTGGCATCCTCTAAGTTTTTGTGATACCTTTGAAAAACAAATAAAAAGGCACATATTTATTATACGGATGCAAAAAACGTATGATGATCACACTGAGTAGAAAATTCCCCACCATCTTCCCCATAATTTTTCCTATTCACGTTTTGGGACAACAATAGACTGAAACTTTTAGGACAAACCCATAAAGTGCTCAAACCGGTTTGGCAGGTGAGCTGGTTTAGGTTAAATTTAAATTGTTTTAGGATACATGAGAGTTCATGTTTTATTATCACTGAGACAAATTGACATTCTGACATTCTAAACAGGATGATTTTCAAAAACACCTCAGTATCTCTTTCTTCTGTCCACCAAAGGCAAAGACAGTTCTGATGGCCGACAGCACTTCCTCAGCCACTGCTCCAGCCTTGGCATAGGCCGTCTGCTCCTTCGACGTGAATGATGTCATCACCTAATGAGACAGGGATAAATTGTTGTTTTTTCATTGATTTAAAATAATATTATTAACCATTTTATTTTTAGCCCATCAACTTTATCTCTCTTTGTGACAATCACATACTTCCATGACACACCGGTAATTTGTAAGCCATAAATTTTGTTTTGTGTATATATATATACTGTGATGGCAGGAATTTGAATTTTTTTAAATAGAAATCAAATAAATGCTGTTTATAATTCCTCTCTCTCTCTCTCTCTCTCTCTCTCTATATATATATATATATATATATATATATCCTTGATTGAACTAAATTAATTGTATTTTCTTTTCTAGATAGTTAGAAAAGGACTATAATAAATGTACTTCAACATGAGTCATTGTGATTGTGTTGAAGGGCACCATGTGGGTCTCTATATTCCTTATCATCCCACCTTCGCGATGATAGCGGCTGAAATCCCGAGTAAAGGGCTAACAGCGAGGATGACTAGGGTCAATTTCCAGCCTTTGACAAAGCCAATGATGATGCCAACGAAAAAGGTGGTGAGATTCTGAAGCAGCATGCCAAGCTTATCTCCAATGCCTTCATTTATTTTGTAAACATCACTGGAGAGGAAAAAAAGAAGAGTGGTGTATATATATGCCATTGTGTGTGTAATATCTAGGTAAATGACTCTTATTGCATGTCATACTCTGTGAGGCGTGTGTTGAGCTGTCCTGTCTCATTGACATCAAACCAGCCAATCTCTTGTTTCATGATAGAGTGGAAGAACTTCTTTCTAAGTCTCTTCACCTGACGTCCTGCTGCAAGAGTCCAAAAGGCCACCTGCATATATGCCGCCACCAAGACTACAAATCCCATGATGCTGTAGTATATAGCATGCCTGAGAAGGGAAAACACGACTATCAGACACTTAGAAAGACTTTTAAATTAATTCAATTAAAACATGAAATATGAAGGAAAATGGCAGTGTTCCAATACAAAGCACATGGGTCTTACCTTGTCATCTGCTCCCCCAAAGTCTCATTACTGGTCTGTGGGAGGGTGAAGTCTAGAGATTAAAACATGACTGCATGTTATTGTTAGTTTTTTTTTTTTAAAGTCACAGATTCCCTGTGTAACAACAACAGTACAGTGATGAGGCATACAAATTATACACTTACCAGGTGGAAGGGTGGTGTTCTTTAAATTCTCTAATATTGTATCGTCCACAAAGCTGTTTGTCATGTCTCCAAATACAATAACCATGAGAGGAAGTACTGCCCCATTGGCCATGGACATGACTGTGCCAAGCAGCATCAGAAAAATATCGACACCATCTGCATAACGAAACTGACAAAAGGACACACTTCTTTGAGAACAAGTTATTCTTTGAGTGAAAATTAAATTAAATAACAAAAATTAAACAACTACATAATCAAACTAAATTAATTATCCACCATGCATTTTTAAGGCTTATACAGTTCAATATTGTTTGGTTGTGGTTACAGACTCAGTCTTGAGTATTTCAAATGTACTTCAAATGTTTTAGTGTATATGATAGTTACATTATTATTGATTTCACAAATAATAATAATAATTAATAATAATAACAATAATAATAATATATTCCACTCACTATCTTTAATGGTCCCACCATCTCCATCTTTTCTTTCTCCTCTTCCTTTCCATTTTTCTCACTGCTGGAAGAAAAAACACAATTAAGTTTCAAGAATTAAAAAAGTAAACAATAAAATAAAAAATGAATTAAATTAAATTTAAAATTATTTTTAAAAAAAATTGCAGTTACATAGGCCCTATTTAACTTTTTTGACTACATAAATGATCTAACCTACCTCTTTCGTGAGAAGATATACTATGCCAGGACATGAACCATAAACCATGATTACAGCTCAAACAAATGTATTTGTAAGAACAAATGGCCGTTGAAACATCAACAGAACATCAACGTAACATTTATTATCACAAAAAAAAAAAAAAAAAAAAACATTTACCTTACATCTCCATTTTCCTCCTTCTTGCCATTTGACAGTTTCAGTTTGGATTTCTTGCCCATTTTATCTCCGATGCTGATAGTCCGGGTAAGTGTTAATCTTAAGTGAATGGTCTGGATGGGGCAGGTGGTTTTGTGCTGTGTCATATAAAAACACTCTATAACACACTGCGCAATTAGAGACAATAAAAACTCTGTAGCATTTTGAGTTGACAGATTGAATAACAAACCTAAGCATACACAGATGATTCCGTCCTACCCCATCAACAGCATTACACAAACATTTAGCTTACATCATAACTTCAAGGCGTTATAATTGCCTAAGGGGTCAGAGAACTGAAATTCTAAATTTCGTCGGTCCCACATTGAAATATCTTGCGCTTTTAAACATTCAAAGTTGGGGAGCATTGACGAGCCTAGAAATTAATCATGTTGCTTACTGTCGCTTTAAACGTTTACGACCCTAAAAAACGTGGTTATCAGAATGTCTCAAATACCATAGGTAAAATCATAAAATTGATTTGTAATCTTATTGCGATAGTAGGCCTATACGTTATCCATATTGGAAGCTTTCAAACTGTTTGTCATTTTTGTTGAATCCTTTTTATGACAGTGGTGGTGGCTAATACCGAGTCACCACAGGTAGTTTAAAATAACGATAGTCGTGACTACTATTTTGTCCGAAAACGACAGTTACTATGATAAATTCGAGGAAATGATGAGCATAATGAAAGATACATACCGCTCAGACGCTGTTGTCCCACCACCACACTGGTGCTCTGCTGATGAGGCGCGAGAGCGCAGAGAGGACCTTCTGCCAGAGCGCAGTCGCGCGCGCGTTTATACAGCCTTGAGTTTATGATGTTACTGCGTATTACATCATTTACAACCTCCATGTCTCATGGATGTCCTCCCTAAGATCCTTTAATGATTGAAAGGCCATTAAGATGGATATCTGAGATTATCTTCAGAATTTGGGCACGCTACGAACACGCTATGGTCTCCAATTACGTTTTTAGTATTACAAGCACATTTTTGATGTTGTTGTGAGATATATTTGTTTTATAACCTAAAATATAATATAAAATTACCCTAGCATCTACAGTAGCTAGTTTTAAACACATTTCATGTCTGTATAACCCCCTCCCCGTATGGGGATTTTGGCCTGTCCCACTTCAGAGGTCTAACCTTCTTAAATTTTATCCAACAATTAAAGTCGTCATTATTTTGACGTGTCATGTCGTGATATAGCCTAATTGATATATAATGAATAATACATATATAATTTAGAAAAAAATAATGTTATTATTAACTTATTTGAATGAAAAAAAACATGTGTCCCAAAATCTTGTTACCAAATGGTTTTCCTCATTACACAAAATTCATTTAATTTTATAAATTTGATCTAAAAATTTAGTAATAAAACAATTTCACCACCCTTCCCTGTCCATTTATTGAAAAAGAAGAACATTTTCTGTTTATTTATTTTATTATTTACATTTTCAAGCCATTGTTTGCGCTGTTTTTGAAATAAATGATATGAGGATGGTTTTCTAAAGGTTATTGCTGAGATGGGTCATGGGTTCACTTTGGTCACTCACTTAAAGTAAAAAAAAAAAAAAAAAAGGAAAAATACAAACTAAACCCCATTTTGCGTGGTTAGAAACCGGACTGAAACCGTCTGAGTGGTAATTTCATATCCCTCTCTTGGTCAGATACAAGGAACTGGGTTAGTTCACAATGTAACAAGCTGTACTGGATTATAGGCTGTAAATGAGAGGGGTTTTTTTTCTGTCAGTGAGACAAAAAGATTCTACTAGCATCTGACCAATTATAGTTTATGCGAGTTGTAGGTGAGAATATAGTGCCACTTGTTCCGGTTACATAACATGCAATAAAACTCAATAGTGGCAAAGGTGACATTACTAAGCATATCATGATTATTGTCCGGGTTTGATGCTTTTTTACCATATCAGGTTGTCGTCACAACACAAAAGTTGTGTTATACCAAATGGCATATTGATGTACAATTTGTAGCATATATTAATTTAAACATTTTACACTTATTTAATGTCTGTTTTTCTGCCTATACCTGATGTAATCATATTTTTAACCCCACACTACATATTGTTTCAAAGTTTTGTTGTTGTTTTTTACAAAACTTAATTCTTTCTTAAAAATGTTTTTTTTTTCTCAAAATTAAATTCACAATGACCCTAAACACACTGAGGAGCATCAATACATTATCATCACAATAATTAACTTTATATGGCCCACACTCACCACCATAAAAGCAACACCATAAAAGAAACACCATAAAAGGATGTGCCGTCACATCCCTCTGAGATGTTATTTTACATCTTAATGTTGGTAGTTCATTCATACGGTCATAACCTCTGTGATAAAGCTGGATAAATAAAGGATAACAGTTCTGGATAAACACGGGAATTAAGACAATCAAATCTGCATTCAACTGTAAAAATAGATCCCATGTTTATTGCATTAAAAATACTGCATATTTCAAAATACACTTAAATATCTTCATATACCTTCTTCAGTGCTTTGATCGAAAAGGCGATCTTCATCTTCCAATCAGCCAGCTTTGTCCCTGCAGCAGCATTTACGGTCAAAATTTGCAATCTAAGTTGTCTTGATATCGATATATAAGACATTATATTTATATATATATATAAAGACTTTACAGAGACCATATGTGTGTTTGTGTCCAATGCTGATGTCTGGACTGAGACCAGCTGATGTTAAACGGAATGTAATACACCAGAGTTTTCAGCTCTAAATAAAAATGAAGAGTTCTGAATTTCAGTTTTGGTGTGAGTGTATTAGAACCATCCTTGATGAAATGTGTGGCAAATTAATTAGGCACCGAAGAGATTCTGTAGGAAAAGATCAGATCTTCTAGGCAGGCAAATCGAGCATGCATACAGCATCTCAGAGAAAGAAATCAGGATTCCTTCCTCAAGGCATCATCTCGACATATCCTATTTCCATGCATTGAACTGAGCATCTGAATCACAAAAGGAATGTACTGTATATCCACTTTGTTGTTTTTTTTGTCTTCAGAGTTATAATATCCTTCCACCTTCATTGGAGTCTGTAATTCCTCCGATGGCCCAATGAGCCCCGTAGTCGTAATGAGTTCGAAGATGAAGTTCTGATCCAGATGCAGAGCAACGGAGGTCTGTACAGATGTTATTGTTCACCCTGCAGAAGCAACTCCTCACTCATGGTCAGTGCAAATAGAATTGTGCAAATCTACATCACTTAGTGTCCCAAAACTTTTTCTTAATCAGTGTATTTGTCTTGTTTCCCAGTAAAAGTCCTTAAAATAAATGTACTTAAATTGTATGAGATATTAAGAGAATAAATGGTATTTTCTTAACCCTATTGGCGTTTTTATTACCCTATTAATTAAATCTAACAAAATTATTTATATTTAAATGTATATATTATCTTAATTTCTTATACCATTTTTATTCTCAAATATATCTCGTTTTATAGAAACTCAGATATTGTTTTTGGAAAACAAGACAAAATACTGAGAGAAAAAGTCCAGAACTGCAGTCCAGAAATTTGCAGCCAGGCCAGTGTTTCCTTCCTGACTATACTGGGTGAGGAGCATGGGGTTTCCCACGGTACTGCTGTCTCCGTAAAGGTGGATGAGGAGCAGGTCTGTATATATAAATAAGACTTTTATCAGATTACACTTTTTCCCAAAGACAATATTTGCCATTGCCTGTTGAATATTATTCGTTTGCATGAAAATGAAAAAAGCATGAAGGGTGAGGGTCCTCTCACCTGGCAGGAGCAGCAGCTGACACAGGGTTACGCGAGTAAAATGATGAAGATGCAGCAGATCCTGAATGTCCCAGCAGTGGGGATGGAGGAGGGTGGGGTGAAGGATCCACAGGGAGTGGTTTCTTGGGAACCGGAGGTTTGGGAGGAACAGGGTTCTGAAACAGGACGAGGTGATACAGAGTCAGTATGGACTTGTTTTTTGTCTTATAGGTTCAATTTGCAATTTATTATAGTTCAAAATAGCACTGCTCTGAGATAATTAGATACAAGAGCACATTAGTGTTGTTAATAGAGGGCTACACTTTACACGCCTGTGGTGATACCTGTCGGGTAGAGAGGACAGGGTCAGGAGGGAGGGGCTTGCTTGGTGCAGCCGGTCGAGTTCCTGTGGGCTAGACGTACAGTCGCAGATGCAGCCATGTGACAGAGAAAAGCAGGTGCTCAGTGAGACTAACTTGTTGTACAATTTTTCAAATCATTAGGAATCAAACTATTCCATCATGATTTCCCCTTGATCGCAAGAATAATTTATCTGAGACCGGACTGAATCACAGTCCATGCACTGCACAACTGATTCCTCTGATTCATTCCAGCAAGATGCTGCTCAAATATTTCTGTTTTCACCTTGCAGATAGACTGGGAGAGATATAACATATACAGGCTCATCAATTTTAATGGGGGAGGGGAGGGGAGCAAAGACCTTTTCACAGCACTATGATGTTTTGCCACCATCACCTATTCTTACATAAAGCTAGTACACAATACTTAGTAAGTATCTCTGCATAATGTACAGGGACTGACATTTACTTTTTTTCTCAAAGATACTAGCCAATCAGAATTTTCACTGGCCACAATTTTGACATTGATACAATCGGGAAAAAAACTATAGATATTAACTATAGAGAAAACCATGTAGATATTTTTAATATTATCATCTCATTATTTGGCAGCAGGTTTATTAGGCTGCTGTCACTTTAAGACCTGATGCAAAGATGTTCACTTAAAACATAACTGACTGTGTTTACGTGAATACTTGCCAAGATCGGCAGTTATTAGACATTATTTTGTGTGTATTTGACTGTTTAAGCACAATAAGCAGCGCAAAAGGACTCAATTTAGTACTGAGAGGCGGCTTTATGTGCGCGCACTTTGGGTGGGAGCACAAAATCTGCCGGAATGAGCAAAATTATGCGTAATACGCACAACAATGCTGGGCACCAACAATATTCACCCGTAACAAAAGAAACGAGTGATTGAAGGGATGCGGGTTTGTGTGTCAACTCGCTGTCGGAGAGATGAGAGAGCGAGAAAGCGCAGCTGGTATCGTGTATCTATTCTGCAGAAAGTGAGTATTAGAAGCGATTCAGTTCTATATATATCGAAAAATCTTTATTTTTGACAACTCTAAATTGCACTTAGTTTGTTATTTCAGACGCCCTTTTAAAAGACTACAATTGAAAATTCTATATGCGTTACACACCACAGCTGAAATCCACCCCCATTTGGTGGGTTGGCGGGTGTTAATGTCAAGCCCTGATAATGTATCACCAAATATTTTTATACTCCAGTTATTATTAATAGTGATGTTATTCGATTCCTTTAACTGGTCAGATTTCATTGTGGAGGGTGGTAATATATATATATATATATATATTTTATCTCTTTGATATTCAAAGTTTCAATTAATCTATCTTCAGGTGTGAAAAATTGCTTGAAACACTCATAAATAACTACAAGAAGTCATTGCTTCTAGTGTTGGTGGATTATTATAACTAGTATTGGTGAGATAATAACTCTACAGGAGCAGATAATCTTTCCACATAAGGGCACTAAGATTGGTTAAAGATTTGATGAAATCTTTAACCAAATCTTTAACCAGGGGGGGGGTATTAAATAGGATGAATTACAAATGAATATTAATGTATCACATACAGTGAATTGTGTCTATTGTGATACTGTCTATTGTGGTTGTGGGAAAAATGTGGGGGAAAAAATAATATTTGTTTACAAACCTAATAATTCTAAAGATATTAGCTTTCAAGTCAACTGAACTCAATTTTTTTTACTAGAAATAGTGTAGGATTGTATGTTATGATGAATTCGATGTTGATGAAACTTTTTCTTTATGGTGATGTTTGAAAATATTCCAGATTACATGCTCTCCCTCAGTCTGATCTCTACACACTCCATTCACTCCAGAGGAACCATCAGCCCATGCACAAAACACCAACATCTCACTGTTAAACCCAAATGACAGAGACACAAGCACAACTCCACATGCAAAACCACACAAAGACTTGGACCACGACTAGGAACATGGAGTGAGTTTCTAAAGGTAGACACTTTAGGTCAAGACAAAATAACAGACAGTTAAACATGGCAGCTACAGCAGTAAGTGCTCCCTCTACCTTGCACTGCATCTTGCTCTCTGAGGGGGCAGGGTCAGGAGGGAGGGGTTTGGTGGGAGGGGCGGGCCAATGCCCTGCCAACTGACGAACCAGAAAGAGCAATAAAACAGTAATGGTTTGTATTTATAACACACCGCTAAATCCACCAGATCAGCTCTATACGTCTCTATTCCTCACAAGCTTGGTGAGCATGATGAGATTTACCTGAGCGGGTTTAGAGACAGGATCAGGTGGAAGAGGTTTAGTTGGAGGAGCAGGCCTGTGCTGGACCTAACAAGACAAAAGTGTTGTGGAGGGGGTAGTAGAGAGGGAGTGAACTTTTACAGCACATGCACGTTATAATAAGAAAAGTTGGTTAGCTGTTTCAGGCATAACAGTAAGCCAAGAAAAATTGTCTGGTATTGTTACGATGGCAGCAGAAGCAAAGGAGACTGGAGCTTCAGTTAACTAGTTACTGTAAGATATTTTTGCAGTTTGTGTAGGAACAAAAATTCATGCAGGGAAGGTTCGACGGAGAAGCAACATATGTGTTACAAACAGTCACCAAAAGCATTTGGCCTTTGGTTTTACTGCATCAAGCACATTTTTTGTCATTCATCAGATCGATGAAAGAGTCAACCAGACCCCTTTTGGTACCCCTCAGTAGGTTTGCTTGACCTTTCAATGGTTCTCCGTAAAGGCACAATATGTAGGATTTTTGTAATAAAATATCCAAAAACCACTTGCACAGTGTGATATATTTTTATATCATATTTTATATACATTTGTAAACCCAGAGAAATTCCATAATGGAATGAAATTTGGAATGAAATGGAATGGAATAAATGAAATTTAAATAATGGCTCGTCCCTTGTCATTGTCACCTATCAATGACGTAATATCTGCACTATCCTCGGTTTCCGCTTGTAGAAACCATAGATGTATATATACCTAGAATCCATAAGCCGCTAATGAGAAATATATGACACAGAATCTAGCACGCCGCTGTTGTGTCATTCAGTCATCATGCATCACGATAATACAGAAAATCCCCAAAAAGTAAACAGATCAAACGAGGCAAGCAGGGTTTGGGACAAATGGAGAAATAAAACAAGGATCAATATCGGTGTCGTTTTCAAGATGGAGAGAGCTTCACGATGAACTTGGTCTTGACAGAGACTCTCGCGTGTGTTTTAATAGACAGGTAAGCAAATATATATTAATTATTGTACACATACAGTTATATTGCACTTTCTTTGTACTTCAGTAACACTTTTAATCAAGTCTGGTGACCAAGTCTATGACAGTGAAATTAAAAACAGTATGTGTTACACAAAAATATTTAGCCATTACTTGTACATACAATGTACTTTTAGTATGATTGTTTTAAACACGTAAAACTGTGCAGCATTAACCCACCAAATCATTTGACAAATAGTTACATATCAGTAACAGGCTAATGTAGCATTACATTTCACGTTCCTTGCAGATAATTCATTATGATGACATAAAATAATGTGATCAAACGTACAGGTAATACAAAAACTAATTCATTACCTCATCCGTGAACATGATTCATGAATTTCATACATCTCTGGATGGTGAAAACAACATCTCCCATCGTTCCACTCTTATATCGTCATCAAGCTTTGATGTTTTGATGACCTTTGTTATTGTTTTGAAAATGCGACATCTGGCGGCGAAAACTTACATATTGTGCCTTTAACTAGGAATTTGCCTCTGTTAATAATCTACCACAAAGGACCATTGCATACATTCTAGAGCTGGAACAAATCCAGAATTTTGGCTTTGATATAATACTAGCTTTGTTATCTCAGCATTGATACTAAATCTGTACCTGAGGTGACAATTAAACAGGCTTGGGCAACTGATGAAATGAGACTAGGGCTGTAAATATATTCATATAATAGATTTAATAATGACAAATATTATTTAACTTATATTCACTTATTTTACTAGTTCATTAGTTAAACATTTTGAGGTTTAAATCTTTTTGTTTTAAAGTGTTGGGTTCAACAATTCATTTGTTTGCTATTATTTCATTTGATTTATAGATCAATTACAGAATTTACACTACCATAGAAAAGTTGGGTCAGTATGATTTAAAAAAAGAAATGAATACTTTTATTCAGCAATGACGCATTCAATTGATTTCAGATTTCAATTTCAAAGTCTGCTCTTTTGAACTTTTTATTCAGAAAAAAGTTTTACGCAGAAGAACTATTTTCAACATTGATATTAACAAGAGATCCAAAGGATCCATTTCTTGAGCACCAAATCATCATATTAGAATGATTTCTGACGGATCATGTGACACTGAAGACTGGAGTAATGGCTACTGAAAATTCAGCTTTGACATTACAGCCATAAATGACATTTTAAAATGTATTCAAATAAAAAACAGTTATTTTAAATGGTAATAATATTTCAGAATATGACTTTTTATTTACTGTATTTTTGATCATATAAATACAGTCGTTGTAGGCATAAGATACTACTTTCAAAAAGATTAAAAAAATTACAGACCCCAAACTTACAGTGGTAGTAGTCAAAATCTTCATCACATGGCGCTAAATGATCATTTTTGTTTTAGGTACCACTGTATGTTTTTTGGTACCAGTATACATACATACCGTACAACTATAATACATTTAATTGCGCATGATCACCAGCAGCTATTATTTCCTCTCTGGACATAGTGACCCTCACTGGGGGCTATTTTCTCTACTTCTGACTCTCAGTAACCCTACACCACATTATAGGAGATCAAGCTCCAGTAATCGTCTCATGGAATGGGCCAGATGCTCGGAGGCAGCACTGTTTTTCTGTAGAGCAGATTTACTGTACCTTGCTGATAGCCTGGGTGAGAGGGATGTCGCTCTGGAGGGGCCACTGGTACCTGAGCGGTTGCACCTGATCTCCATTTCGAGCATTAGCTAGCTCCATGGCAGGAGTTCTGTGAGGAAAATACAAGATATTCACAATATTACACACATTCGTACATTTTTTTAGACACTCGATGAGAACATTGTTGGTGATCAATTTTACATACATTTTATACCGATAATAACTGAATCACAAAGATAAAAAAGCATCTCACTATATAAATCTACTTCACATACACCAGAACTGTTGTGTAATAGGGAACTGGAGAACTGGGTGGGAAAGACAGCTAGCAGGGAGACACTTAACATTTGAGATTAAACAAACATTTTTTCTTCCAGCAAAACACAGACCTCTGGTGTGTTAAACAAATTTAAGAAACTCTTCACTGTGACGGTTTTGCTGGAAGTCCCACAACACACAACCAGAGAGGAGCTTGTCAATGACAGCCAATGTTAAGCCCAATTTTATATTCAGTTTTTCATTGCCATTCAAAGCCCCTGCTGGTGAGAGACAAATGTTCAACTAATGTTTAACCAAGTATAGCTACGGCTAACAAACTGAAGCTCCACATTCACAGATACCTCCGGTTTTCCTCCTTCACACAGTATTCAATATAGGCCACCGAGACCCCACTGCATCATGGGTAAAACACAGTAAAACATTATCATTAATAATTTATCATATGACTCTTATGAAGGATCTTCTCTTTTATCTCATATTAACACTTCAGGTTGTCATTTCTGGCTGGCTGTTGTTTTTATGTCACCAGTGTTTTTTGCACTATGCTGATTTAAAGTGGGTTTATCGAATTACAATGATGGTCTGATCATTTTTTTTCCAAGGGTCAATGACAAATAAGTGTCCACAACAAAGAAAAGGAAAAATATTTTTATAATCTAGTTTAAAACACTCCACTTGTTAGAAATGGACTGTTTGTATGTATTTTGGTTTCAAATGTTTTTAAGAAAAGTTTTAATATAATGATTTTTATGGTGTAACCATCAAGTAATATTAAAGGGGTCATAACATGGATTTTTTTTATATACAGGATGTTCCTTGATGTTCACTTATAATGTTAATAACGTTTTTTGCACAAAAAACAAACAAACATATATATGTGGAAAAATATTATTTTCAACCCTCATTCCGAAATGATCCGTTTTTAAGGAGCAGCTCCTTTAAGGCTTGTCAGTAAACGGCCACTGTTATGATTGGCTAACGTCATTGCATAGAAAACAGTATCAACGTCCACTCGGTATTGCATGCGAGTATGTTTTTGAAAACATTATCCATATAAAGGCCCTTGCACACTCCGAAATTTTCGTATGCGTTTTTTCGTATTCGTGATTCGGTGGCTCTGAATTGTCAAAACACCATTCAGACACCATTCAAACTGCTTGCTACGAATGCGAAAAACGCAGAAAATCGAACCCGATCAGATTTTTTTTTATGACGGACGAAAGTTTCGGAGGCAGTGTGCAAACGTGATTGACATAACGTGAGGTTGTATTTATTTTTTAACGTGCGAAAATTTCGGACGCGAATTTCGGACTCAGTGTGCAAGGGCCTTAAGAGCGTCATTTACAGACAAAGCATTATGAAATTACTTACTTATGGTTTGCAATGCAGCTGCTATCAGATCCAATATAGCTGACTGCTTCATCTTTAAACAAAAGTTTCTTTGCAAACTCTTCATTACACTGTGCCTCATTTACAAAACTATCTGCAGGCAAATTCTCCTGACAAACATATAATCCTCCGATGTGAGACGTCACAAATCCCACAATATCCATAAGAGCTGTTTTCGGAGCTCATTTAAATAAATCCTTTGTTTATAATGAGTAGGATGTTTTAAGCTCTGTAACTTGCATGATGTTTTAATGGTACAGAGACCTCTTATATGTCAAAAGATCAAGGCAAATTTGAAAATGAATTGCATTTTTAATGTATTATTTAATAAATGATTATTATTATATCTCATGATATTGACCCTCAATGAATCATTTCGGGCATACACAGTAAAGTGAGATAAATTGCATCAATAATGTATGTCATCTCTCTGTCCCTGTGTCTTTTGATCAGTCTCACCGGCTCTGTCGGGTCTTGCTGAAGGGGGTGTGGCCGAGGTAAACAAGGCCTCGTCGACAGCGGGGGAAGCGGAGTGCGACAAACAGCAGTGAGACCGGCAACACAAACAGGAAAATGACCAGAAGAGCCACCCGCGCAGGATCTGAATCTGTATACAGACAAAAATGAGGCTAAACATTAGCACGGCAATGTATTCAATGTAATGATGTGTTTGTGTGTGTGTGAGTATAGTACCTCTGGGCTCTCGAGCAGGGCCGCTGTCCACACTGCCTCCGGTTCCAGAATATCTGCAGTCAGGAGGAGCCCAGCCCTCAGCACAGTGACAATTCTTATTACTGTTACACACCTACAGACAAAATAGAGAAGGAAAAAGTGAAACTGCAAGTTTAAGTGACTCATCCCTCTTTTTCTGCTCCTCCCCTCCCCCTCCTCACCCCGTGACCATTGCATTTCATTCGACATTCTTCAACACCAAACATGGACACGTCCCTGCATCGTTGGTCCACACATGCCTGAGAATACAATGTTACAATAAATCAAACATACGATAAATGTAATTTTTAATAAATTGCAAATAAAAAGTTATTTTACTAGGACATAAATAGATCTCTATATATTATTTAATATTATGAAATATTATAACAATTTAAAATAATATTTTGTATTTGAATATATTTTGAAATGTAATTCATTTCTGTGATGGCAAAGGTGATTTTCCAGCAGCCATTACTGTCACATAATCATCAGAAATCATTCTATCAGCATGCTGATTTGATGCTCAAGAAACAGTTGTACTGCTTTATATTTTTATAGATTTTTTCAGGATTTTTTGATGAATAGAAAGTTCAAAAGAACAGCATTTATGTGAAACAGAATTTGTTTGCAACAATGTAAAATTCTTTACTGTTACTTTAACATCCTTAATAAAAAAATATATATATAAATAAATATATAAAGTTAGCAGCAAAATTATCGGGATTCAGCAGATAAAACTAACTGAACTGTACAATAGACATGTATTTAAAAAGGCAGAATCCATCATGTCTGATAGTTCTCACCCCTTGCATGCAGAATTTAAGATGCTGCCTTCTGGTTCTCGCTTTAGTCAGCCACCAGCCAAAACAAATAGATTTAAATTCCCCTTTGTACCCTCTGCGATCTCTCTGCTTAACTCTGTAAAGAATAGGTAATGTCTGCACAAAAGGCATACTTGAACTTAAATTTTAAATGTTGTAGTTTTCATTTCCATTTGTTTGATTCTGTATTTTAATCAATGTTGATGTTGTCGTCTTTGTTGTCATGTACTGTATTTTAACTTCTTTGCTACTGCAGCAAAACTAATCGAATTAAGAATTAAGACAAATAAAGAATTGAATTGAATAAATTGCTTGAGTGTAGAAAATCTCTAACTCTATTTAAAAAAATTTTAAACACACTAAATCCGTATTAAATGTTTTAAATTAACAATCCTAAAAAAATACACATTTTATGGAGACTCGCCTTGTTAGGCCCACAGGCCGTCCCCTGGGACACCATGGCTGGGTCAGAAACATCATCACCCAGATTAAAATAGGTCCCCCGGCAGGTAAAGTCACTCTGGTTCAGTATGACCGTTGTGGTCAGAATCTCAGCGTTGGAGCCCAGCAGGGGACGTTCACTTCCACCCTGACACTGGATCCTACCACAGTGCACATCCCTTAGCAAAAAAGAACACATTTTAAAAGAAACAAATTTTTTTGCACAATTTGTTGGTAATTATGCTTATAAAATAAAATAAATGCAATTTTTTTTCTTTCACAAACTGACTACTGGATACGAAACAATCATGATCATGTCTGTGATTAAATAAAAAAGCTCATTCCAGGCTACAAGTCCTCACCCTTTCAAACAGGGGATATAGGATCCGTTGGGCATCTGGCCACAGTTTCCGTACTTATTGCCCTGCTTATTCACAGATGAGAAGCAGATAGGTGGAGCGTGGGTGGAGTCTTAGAGGGGCGGAGAGAACAGAGAAAGAACCACAATAAATCTAGACACTATTTGAGAATCATCAGAATCCTCATTGTGGAGTGTGTGACACTCACTCGGTCCCCAAAGCATTTGGCACTGCTCGTCCAGACTGGCACACACGCCGCTGTAGCAGTAGGAGGAACCGTCCTTGCATGACTCTCCATTCTGAAGAAACACATTGGGAGGACAGTAGGGGGAAGTGCCGGTGCAGTACTCTGGCAAATCACACTCTCCCAACGGCTCCCGACACACCGACCCGGCCATACGCAACTATGGGGAAAGAGATGATTGGGATGCAGTGAGAGAGTAGCATTAGCGGCACATGTCTAAGTGAGTATTTATTTATAATCAAACTTACAAACCTTGCAGTTCTCACAGCAGATGCCATCAGAAGAGCACTGGGCCCCGGGAACCAGTTTACACGTGCTGGCATTGCAGCAAGGATCATTACATTCCTGAACAGACACAGACAGAAAGTAGATTACAGAGGTGAAGAGCATATTACAACATTTTATTGTTTTACAATCCTATACATTATGATTAGGGGTGGGAATCATTTGAAATCTAATGATTTGATTTAATTCAAATCTTGGGGGTCACCATTCTTGATTTTGAATCGAATTTTGATTTGATATAATGTAGTAAAACTTGTCAGTTTTTTCCGCGTCTTTCATTTCTGGATGATAACGTGCATGAGTCTCAATATTTCTCTAAACGTATTAAATTAATTATTATCACCTTTTATGTAAAACTCTTACTGTACATAAAATTCGTACACCTCTGCCATTTTTGCTCTGAAAACATGATGTTATTAACTAACATTCAAAAAAAGATTTTTGAGATTTGTGAATCAGTAGAAGATAGAATCGCGATTATATAAATCCATCTGATGATTTATTATTTGTGGCTGTAATGTTTGCTGTCAGCTTAAAGGGATACTACACCCTCTTTTCTTTTTTTTCACAATTATTTACTCAAACCTGTGTGACTTTCTTTCTGCTCTGAAACAATAATGTAGTATTTTTTGTTCCACAGAAGAAATAAAAGGCATGCAGGTTTGGAAAAACATAAAGGTAAGTAAATTATGACAGAGTGTTCATTTTTAGATTAAATATTCCTTTAAGTTGTCAGATGCACTTTGTCGTAAGTCACCGGTAAATGAAGCAGAACCAGGAACCAATAGACAGGAAGCGGTTTCTTACATCCAGCAAGCCGCAGTCACACTCCTCTCCTTTCTCCACATACAGGTTCCCGCAGCGCGGACCTCCCAGAAGGCTCTCCGGCTGTGGCACATTAAAGAGACACATACCGCCACCGTGCAGAAGACTGAGAGAGAGATCCCGTTCGCTGCAGCTGCTAAAGAGCTGACCGGGCATAAACCTGCACATGGGAGAATTTACTTCGTAAGTTCATATTGCATGATTTATCACTACTAGCGATATAATATCAATCACAGACACTCATTTTTTCAATCACCCAGTGGAGGGCTCCATGATGCAGCCCCCAAGCCGAGGCTCGTTCTGGCACTGGCAGAGCCTGTCGGCCGTGTCGTGACTCATTCCCAGGTTGTGACCCAACTCATGAGCCACCGTTGATGCCACACCTAACACACTCACAAGGTGATCCTACAGTACAGGAAACACAGGTGAATACTAGAATAAGATCTAACTTATTGCATAAAGACCAAGATTAAATGAACGATTTCTCTTACCACATTCACTCCTCCTGACCGATCCTTTGAGCACATCGAGGACTGAGACGCCATGCCGACTGTCGTCCCATCAAATGGCTCACCCCTAAAATATATAAGCACATATCGCAATTCTGAATTATTTCCTTGTCTATTAATACCCGATCACACTGTGGGCATATTTCTGGCAATCTCGACCTACATGATCAGCTGTGCATTGTCATGCCTCAGTCGTGGAAGTAGCTCCCTGGTCCTCCAATCCAGGAAGCGGTTCAGGGTTTCAGTGGGACTTTTATCCACTTGAATCTTGTCCTGGTCACTCCAGATCTCCAAACCCAGCAGAGCCACACGTACATTCAATGGCCTGTAGAACTGAGACAGAGGGCCAAGGCAGAGATTTAGACAAAGTCTAAGACTCACTAGTGCCTTCAGAATATGTATGGTGACTAGCAGTATTATAAATATTTTTTTTTAAAATCAGTTACTAACGTAACCTCGGTCCCCTGAGATAACGGGAACAAGCATAGCGTGGGTTACTGTCGCGTATGGGAAAAACTCAGTTTTTCTCAGAATACTGAAGCCTGACTGGTTCACGTCTGTGCATCTGCACAAACAATGGCAGACTGCCTATATAAGTAGCGCTGAATGCCATATCGTCATAATCTTTCGACTGAGCAATAGTCAACTCATGTGCAAGCGTAGTAGCTTGACAAGTAACGCAATGCTCATTCCCGTTATCTCAGGAAATTAAGGTTAAGTTAGTAATGGAAACGAATCCCCGAAACATGTCAGTTACTGACACAATCCAATAGTGCCGTGCTAATAGCTAAATAGCTAATATGGAGTGACAAGGCCCCCACAGCAGGCAACATAAGTGATAGGGATACTTTTAAAGTTTGTCCAATAAGACAAGCCCGGGTCTAGGGGCCGAAGCCCGTGTGGCATGGCGAAACAATATTCATGCCTGAAGAGCAGGGACGTCCAGATGTTAGCAATGGACACTCTGCTAGACCACGCCCATGAGGAGGCCATTCCCCTGGTGGAGTGGGTTCTGACCTTTTTACACTCTATGGCTCTGAGCCCTATAGGGCACTGCGAGCCCAAGGACTTGTAGGCTATAGCGCTATCACTGAAGCACCATTAATCCGCTGGTTGAGGTTTGTTCAGGCAGAAAGCTTCTTCTCTTCTTCGGAGTCAACGAGGAGATGATCTTCGGTCTTAAAAGAGAAAGATTCTAACGATTTGGCATTCAGCACGACTTATATAGACAATCGGGCAGCCCATTTTGGCGGGCTGAAATGCCATTTGTAAGGTTTAAGGGGTTAATAAATAAAACTAAAGTAACACTGTTATAGTGGGGTTCGAAAAGACCACTAGTGGAAATCCTTCTATTTAGCAATTTTCTAATACATTTTTTTTTCTCATTATAAATACTTTATGAGCAGCACTCAAGCTGGATTCCATAAGCTTGTGTAAAAGCTGAGAATTGAAGTGCCATAATGGAAGCAGGAACATTTAATCATCTGTACAAAGAGTCGCATGATCAATGTCACAAATTTGCTTACTCAATTAGTGATCTAGAAGTAGTGTAGAATCTTAAACATTTCTTATTCACTTTATATCAAAACATTTAATCGCAATTAACAATTTTACATTGCGTTTAAAATTCTAAAACTTTTTTGTTTATTTTCCAGGTTTTCAGGTGTACTGCTCTGAACGCATGTTTTCATATTTACACTACTGTTCAAAAGTTTGGGGCCAGTATGACTTTTTTTAAACAAAATTAATACTTTCATAATACAATCATTCAGCAAAGGCATATTAAATTGAACAAAAGTGACAGTAAAAATTAATAGATATTCTTATAATGTTACAAAAGTAACGTTTCTGTTTCAAATAAATGTGGTTCCTTTCAATTTTCTATTCATTAACGAATCCTGAAAAAATGTATTACAGTTTCCACAACAATATTAAGCAGCACAACTGTTTTCATCATTGTTAATAAGACATTTTTGAGCACCAAATCAGAACATTATAATGATTCGGATGGATCATGTGACACTGAAGACTGGAGTAATGGCTGATGAAAGCAATTTTTTATTCAGCAATATTACCGTTTTAACTGTATTTTTGATCAAATGAATGTAGCCTAGGTGAGCATTAGAGACTTCTTTCAGAAACATAAAAATATCTTAACCAACACAAACTTCTGAATGCCAGTGTACATGTACGTTTAGATATATAACTTACCCAGTCTACTTGGTTTGCCACATCCAACATGCGGTAAATCATGGTTTTATTATTCTTCTGATAATTCATATACTGTGAGGAAGACAGAAAAATAATGGAAACAGATTAAAAACTGAAGTCTTCATTATTCAGATATATGAAAGGTAAACCAATTAAGAGTAGATGTGATGCAGTATATTCACCAGTAGAGGGCGTAACTGTCTTATGACTGTATGTGTGTGTGTGTGTGTGTGTGTGTGTGCGCGTGACAGAGATTCTTCTACTCTCTTACCTCCTTATGATCCGCCACCAGCACCAGCTCAATATATTTGGTCTCTGAAAGAATGTCTCTCTTACTCTGTCACGCAACAGCAGAAAAGGATCATGAGAACAATCAGATAAATATGCATACCTATAAATACACATATGCATGCACACAGCTTGCATGCTCACCCTGTGTGTGTGTGGGATGATCTGAATGGGAGGAATAGAGGTGTGTGACACTCCACAGTCTCTAGACTCAGATGTTTGCAAGTTTGTCGGGTAGATCAGGTGTAGCCATCCTTCCATTTCTCCACTCCCTTCCTCATCTTTTCCATGCTCTTCTTCCTCAGGATATAGCTCAAAGCTCAGTGTGGCGTTAATGACTATCAATCCCCTGTGGAGAGAAAAAGAAGTGTCATTACTGACTAACACAGACTGAACATGATGTTCACACACACATCTGACACAAACTTATGATAAATGTATACTCAAATTAGATGTATGGGCTATAAATACATTGCAGTTCAACAGTGGCGGCCGGTCAGTGGGATTTTTATTGAAATAAATAAAAAATAAATAAATGATGCATTAAATTGACCAAAAGTCACAGTAAACCTTAAAATTGCCACTAAAGATTTCTATTTAACATAAATGCGGTTTTTACTGAACTTTCTTCATCAATATCTTCAATATTACTATTTTACAGTAAATAAAAGTAATGCAGCCCTTTAAAAAAAAAAAAACTCACAGACTACACACTTTTGAACAGTAGTGTATGTGGTCGATTTGGTCATTAATATGATATTAATAACAACATCACAAAACTGATCTCAAACCCATAAACAATCTGTACTAATAATTCTGGTGAAGGTCATCAGTCATTGATAATCTGTTCAAATATACAGACTCCCTTCTCATATTTCCTCCATTGCTTTCACTCTCTTTCATGTTCCTTCTGGCAAACTAACAACCCCATGACCTCTGAAATATAAGCTGGTCTTACAGTTTACTAATAAATTAAGCCACAGCATTGTTTAAAGTTTAGCAATGACCATAATTCAGTAGAATCTCTCAAAGGAAGTGGTCAGTGATGTATATGACTGCAAGAAACACATCTGTATATTTGAAAAAAGTAAAGCAAATATTACCGTAACCCAGAGCAGGAGCTGAGAGCCACGCGGGACTGAGGGAAACCTTGCACTGAACCGTGATAGTAGCAATGTGTCTGACAAAGGAACAGATAAAAAGTACATTAAGTTGCTTCAATAAAAGTAACATTGCAAAAGGCGCAATGAAATAAACATGCGCTTGTGTATGAAGGACTCCACTCACCACTAGGTTCTCCTTCGTGGATACCCCAGTTCCATTTGGCAGATAGTAGAACACATTAGGCGGCTTTGGCAAAAGATCTCTGCAAACAAATGTCCATATATTATGATTTTATCTTCATTAGCTGCTGATTAGACTCGCAGGAAATTACTTACTGGTTTTTTTCCAGGTCCAGGATATACAAGCTGCTTCCCACTTGTAAACCACACTGCAATCTGTCAGGGTGACCATTCTGGAGAGAATGAGAGAGAAAGAGAGAGAGAGAGATTTCATGTTATAAAGAGATTATCTGAATAGTGTATTTGTTAGATCTAACAAACTCATGAGCCTATTTATGAGTCCCACTGCTCCACCTCAGCAAATGTTACAAACAAATGTCTTTATTCAGATCAGTCCAGATGAGATCATGTTTTCTTTGTGAAGGACAACACATTATGTTAAACCTGCGCATCAGAACATCAGTATATTTCTTTATTTCTATAAATGTTTTGGCCCCTAAATCAGTAAGGCAAGTATCCCTTCTTTGAAAAAAATATTATTAATTAATATAATACATATTAATAGTTAATACAAATCATCATACTTAATTATGTAATTGCATTATTTATTCTTACAATAAAAAATAACTGAGTATTGTGAGTGGCCAAACGGACATATAGTAGCACAAAGATTCTGCTATGAAAGTTATTTATCTAAATTTATATAATCTGTATAGGTTTAACAATGTAATGTCTTCCCAAGTATCCATACACACGGTGGTTTGGAATCACTGCATCAGCACATGACCAGAAGAAAAGATGGGTTCTCTGAGAGCTTCATTTTAGAGGGTGAACTGGGCTATAAACAGACTTCCCCTCCTCCAGACTTTTTCTGTGCCTTTCTCTCATCTCACTTCCTATTCTAAGCACCTTTTCCTGCCATTCTATCACATCCCCTTGGCTCGCACACACATTCAGCAGCCTGATGAAAAAGTGAAACGCTACTCAGCTTCCTGTTATACCACTGCTACAGTTTCCTGCTTTTCTCCAATGTGCTAATGGGAACAGCTCACTTTATTGACCACTCCTTCTCTCAGCCAATGAAATCAGGTCTATCTGACCTCTCTCTGCACCAGCCATTCAGAACAGGTTAAACTGGCTGCTCTCTTTCCCTGCCAGTCAAAGCAAGTCGGGCATCTCTCATAGCAAACTCACTTTAAAAGTAAAGGTTACATCTGTTCTCTCTATTTTTCTGGAAGTCCAAGTGAGCTAGTCTTAATTCTCAAAAGCATGCAGAGCAAACATGCAGTCCAGTTTAAGAAACAAATAACTCCTTTTTAATAAATCATTCAAAAAGACTCACAAAATGATCCGTTTAAAAAAATAGCAATTGAACTGACCTCTAAAATCTGTTTATGCAATGTACCAAGTTAGAAGGCTTTCTGTAATAATTATAGTAATAGCTGATAATTTCTTTCATATATAAAATAAATATGCACATTGTAGGCTTAATATGAAATGGTCATTGAATAGAGAGCTTGTGATGTTTCTTTTTAAAATTTCAAAATGATCGTTATTTGTTAATACGTGTGTTCGACTTCCGATCGGTGTATGACATCAAAGTACAGCGAGAGCGATTCAAAAGCATATGGAGCAGCTCTCTAATCCCTCTCGCGGTACTCTGATGTCATACACCGATTGGTCTGCGCAGGACCGTTTCAAGTCGAACACACCTATTATTGCAGTGAGCTTATTATATTGATTGTTAACTGACATTAAATTAAGGGTTAGTTCACCCAAAAATTAAAATTCTGTCAGTAATTACCCACCCTCATGTTGTTCCAACCCCGTGAGACTTTCGTTCATCTTCGGAACACAAATTAATATATTTTTGATTAAATCTGAGAGCTGGATCACTCCTCCATAGGCTTCTAAGGGATTGAAACTTGCTGGCCCAGAAAAGTTATTAAAGACATTGTTAAAATAGTCCAAGTGACTACAGTGGCTCAATCTTAAGTTTATCAAGCGACGAGAATACTTTTTGTGCGCAAAAAACAAACAAAAATAACGACTTTATTCAACTATTCATTTCCTTCTCTGGGGGCCTCGAGTTAGTTCACGTAGTGTAACTGCGCAGCACTTCTAGGTTGTACGTCACACGCATCACACACATGACCAGCGTTGGCCAATAGTGAGCCTACGTGTGACGTACAACACAGAACCGCTGCACAGTTACACTTCGTGAACTAACTCGAGGCTCACAGAGAAGGAAATTAATAGTTGAATAAAGTCATTATTTTTGTTTTTTTGCGCACAAAAAGTATTCTCGTCGCTAATTACTGACAGAATTTTCATTTTTGGGTGAACTAACCCTTTAAATTACTGTTGGCAAGTATTTGGCTGCATCACCTAGTAGCCTAAAACAATGCCGGTTGGTGTTCGGTGTCACCGGCCCACCAGTGGGCCCAAATCTATTACATTTTTAAAACAGTAATATCCTATACTAAACCTAAACTAATCTTGACAAACTATATATCATTTGAAAGCTTACAAGGTCTAGTTTCCATATTTGGTGTGATTTTCAAAATAAAATACAGAGGAGCTGTAATTTATCAATTTGCAACAAGAATATTTTCATACTCCTAAGGCGTGTTTAGACCTTTATTTTGAAATAGTGATGAACATGAAAAATCATGAAAGATGGGTAGAAACCTCAGTTTGTTTTCATGCCAAGAGTTCAAAAGATAGCATCCATTCAATTATTTTAGAAAAAAAGGTCTGAAATTTGTTTAAATATAAAGAAAAAAAATATAGATTCACCATTTGTGATGTGGCAGCAAACTATAACGCACATACACTGTAAAAAATGTGACCAATGGTTACTTAAAAAATTTATGGCAACAAAGTGACACGTAATATAATTGAATAGATTTTAAGTTCTACATCTTTGATTAAAAAGTATTGAATAAATTAACTAAATTTAAACCAAAAAAAATGAGTACATGTTCATAAAAGCAACACTTAAAATGTGTTGAATTTAGTAATAGCATTCAACATTTTAAGCCAAAATATTATTAGTAAATCCAAATCAGTTTCACAAAGAAAAGCAATTTATGTTTAATAAATATCTGAGCAAAAGTAATTTAGATTTACTAAATATCTAGGAGAAATTGCTTTAGATTTACTAAATATCTAGAAGTGAATTTAGATTTACTAAATATCTAGGAGAAATTGCTTTAGATTTACTAAATATCTAGGAGAAGTGAATTTAGATTTACTAAATATCTGGATAAAAATAAGTTATATTAACTAATATTTTAGCACATTTTTGCCTAATTCAACACATTTATTCTGCGTTTCATATTTATCCGTACCTAAATGAATTGTTTAAATTGAAGTTTTAATTGGTATCACATTGCTTTAAATCTATTCAATTATATTGGATGTCACTTTGTTGCCATAATTTTTCTATGTATAATACACTCAATATCATGCCTTCTTGGTGCCACAGGTAACTTAAATTGGGTTAATAAATCATCATGCATAACAGCAGGTAAACATTTATTTGTCAATTTTTTTCTAAACATGTTTATCTGACATTTTTCAAGTTGTTGAGTGCAAAATGTCAAAATACAACAATAAAACACAGAAAGAGGCTAAGAAAACAAAGGCAGAAAACATGTATGCGTACAATAGGGACAATATAATGGCATTTGGGATTCGGATGTTAATAAATGTTTGTTCATTTAATGGTGTTTAATTTCTGCTACATCATTGGCTTAAATTTTCCAGTGATTTGTGATGTGATTTAAGGTTTAGTCCTGTTACTGCATTCAAATTATGACCATGACAGTTATTATGCCAGTTTTTAGTCTACAAATTTTTCTTACATTTTCATTTAAAATATTTTATTACATGTGCCAATTGAAATCGTCAGGGCCATTATGTTATTCAAACGGCTAATAGTAATTGATTAAAATATCACATGGAACCTGGGATAAGGTCAAGTAATTCCATTAGCCTTACTTTACTTTTTGCTTAAATAGGTCTCACTTAAACAATCACATGAATTTGTTCAAATTTCTCAATTAAAAGATGTAAAATTTGCCCCTGGTGTACACAGAGGAATCACAATGTACAATAACAGCTGCCTGTGGCAATATAAATTCAAAAACACAATGCCAAATGAGTATGGTTGGTTTGATATTTCTGAACAACCCCATGTTGCACTGAAAATCAATATTTTTCAGTTACTTAACAGTTGAAAAAGAAAATGCCCAAACATTCATCAAGTGGAAGAAAGTTAAGAACAATCAGGGCAGCGTGAACAATCTTTATGGTGCCTTTATGTTTAATTTGGTCACTTTTATGAAGAGTAAAGTAATCTTCAAATTCCAAGTCCGAACACTAACGACTGAACTCATCAGAAAGTCCAAAGGTCTCCTTCAGTAACAGTTTGCAGTTCCTTCACAGTGAGTGGGTAACCGTGTGACAGTTTTGACAGTGACTTAATTGTCCCCTTTCATTCTGCGAGGGTCCATTTTCTTAAGCTAGTAGCTTATTCTTGAGGCTGTTCACTTTTGGGGACAGCTTTGAACAATCCAGCTCAAGGAGGAGTTTCTGGAAGACTTCAAGCGTGTACCTGAGCTCCTTGGGATAGGCAAGACTCACTGCATATGCCAAGCCAATGACCATGGAGCAAGCCCTTGGAAAGTTACCCAGAGCAGTCAGAACTTTCACGCCCTCTACTACGATACCGATGTCATCAGGACCCTCTGGCGTAGTAGGCTTGATGTTGTAGATTTTAATCCTTTGTACAGCAAGGTCCTGTGACACACTGTCTTTATCAGCGTCCTGAAAAAGCAACAACATTGGGTATTTCAGACTGCACATCCAAAGGAGAAGATTCTAATTCAACAACTCCCAAATTGTTTTCAACCCTTTGGACAAGAAAACCTGTGGCTATCATGGCTGTTGCACATGATTTACTTCAGTCACAGAAAAAAATCAGAGATAATGTACTTCCATAAGCATATTTTCATGCCAGGTAAGTTAAAAAGGATCTAATCAGCTGACCACCACATGAAAACAATTCAATGACACCAGAGATGATGGTCTTAATTTAGTCACAGTTAAATCGGCTAAATTAAATCCATTCATTGCTACAGAAATGAATTTCTTCCCAGCACTTGTCTGTGCACTTTGTGATCTATTGCACACATATTATTCTACATTCACTGACACAGGCTGGTCA